AATTATTTTCAGTTTTGAATCTGAGAAGCCTTTCTTGAAGGCCAGTTTTCTATTTTTTTAACGAAATTCCAATGCAGTATTTAGCTGCTTTTTGGTTCTTTACTCAATTTTTGCAATGCAAGTTTTTCTTTGAGGATTTTATGGCAGGTATTTAAAGAAAATTCTGGTTTTCAAAAGTGTATGGAACTTTGCCGGTCCGCAGAAAAATCCATGTCAATTTGCCGGTCCGCAAAAGATTTTATAAAAATGTTCTGGTCCGCGAGAAAAAAAAGGTTGGGGAACATTGGCATAGACGATGACCATGAATTGTGATTTGTTTGACGAATTGAAAAAAAAAAAACAATCTACATTCCTCTTTTAGACTTTCAACTGCGCATTCCTATCCTCGAATTTTATTCAATTTCACGAGGTTTTATCTGGTTTCCAAATAAAGTACTTGTTTTAGGTTTCCGTTGGTAATTTGTCTTTACTCCAGAACCCACTTGAAAAATGTAGAATATGTGCCTCTCACGGAAATTGAAATGGAAATTTCGACGTGATCTAATTAATTTTCCTCGCGAAACAGCTGAGATGCAATGGCGTGGAAAAGGGAATTGAGAAGAACAATTTCCGCGTGTGTCTCGGTGGCATTTTGTACGAAAAGCTTGGGGATTTCTGTGAACCCCCTTGTGCGCAATAAAGGGTCCCGCTGGGTTCCATACGGCGGGTTGCATTCTCATACAAGTACAGTAGGCAATTGTATCTCTGGAAAACTTCCCCTATGCCCGTAGAATCCAAGTTTGAAGGTTCAAAATTTGGTAAAAAACGTATTTTTATCGCTTGCTTAGGCATCCTCAACCTCCAACTCGACCCGAAGCTTACCGTTAAAGAGTTCATGACATGCATTAGTCGTAGGATCACTGCTTATGCCAAGGCCAAAAATAAAATAAAATAAATAAAATCCTCAGGAGCTCGAATTCGCCAAATGGCTGTGATGCACCAACTTTAGCGCCCAAACACCCTTTAAACCATCAAAAGACATGGGGGGACCCCCGTAGTGACCGACCTCATTGCTAAAAGCTACGTTTAGGGGCCCTTGAAACCTGTCAACTTGATTACTAGCTAATGCACTTACCTTTCCCATGCCCTCTTCTGCGAAATGAACGAGGCAGATGCAGTAGGAATCCAATTATTCTGGCTAATGACCTGGTGTCTGTGTCCGTCTGTTTAATCAACTGTGGCAAATAATCGAAAGTTGTTGGAAAAAGAACTCGCATTTCATAGGGGGATGAGGTTGGGTGTGAATCAGTCGAAGGATGATCGACATTATTTTTATTCACGTTCTCGATGCATTTTTGGAAGCGTGTCTGGCTGATTTATTCATGAGTTCGAGGGAAATGGATTGGAAAAAAAAAAATTAAAGCGAATTTTCGACAGTTCGAAAAAAAATTTCTTTCTCGATGTTAATCCAGATTTTGGTATGGAATACCCAGCAGTTAATTAGAGTTATGTTTATCGCGGAATGATATTCTTTGGGTAACTGAAGTTTATTAATCAAAAATACAGTATTCGAAACCAGCTTGAAATCATTTACGATATTGAAGGCATTCATTTTTTTCCTACGTCGAACGATTTTTTTCATTGACAATTTCTTGTTCATTGATTAAATTTAGGGATAAGTTAGCTTTATTAACTCTGAAAGAATTCCCGAAATCGGAACCATTTTTTTTTTTGCAAATACGTGGTTGAAATCGCGGGTTTGTGGGAAATTTGGTAGTTTTCTGTACCCCCCTGGGGGCATCACTGGCTGGAGTAACGATTTTCGATGCAAATCCCCGGGAACTTTGGACAGTTGAACTAATGATCTTAATGCACTTACCTTTCCCATGCCCTCTTCTGCGAAATGAACGAGGCATGGGTTTGATGCAGTAGGAATCCAATTATTCTGGCTAATGACCTGGTGTCTGTGTCCGTCTGTTTAATCAACTGTGGCAAATAATCGAAAGTTGTTGGAAAAACAACTCGCATTTCATAGGGGGATGAGGTTGGGTGTGAATCAGTCGAAGGATGATCGAAATTATTTTTATTGACGTTCTCGATGCATTTTTGGAAGCGTGTCTGGCTGATTTATTCATGAGTTCGAGGGAAATGGATTGGAAAAAAAAAATTTAAAGCGAATTTTCGACAGTTCGAAAAAAAATTTCTTTCTCGATGTTATTCCAGATTTTGGTATGGAATACCCAGCAGTTAATTAGAGTTATGTTTATCGCGGAATGATCTTCTTTGGGCAACTGAAGTTTATTAATCAAAAATACAGTATTCGAAACCAGCTTGAAATCATTTACGATATTGAAGGCATTCATTTTTTTTCCTACGTCGAACGATTTTTTTCATTGACAATTTCTTGTTCATTGATTAAATTTAGGGATAAGTTAGCTTTATTAACTCTGAAAGAATTCCCGAAATCGGAACCATTTTTTTTTTTGCAAAATTTTATTATTCGTCAGATTTTTCGCTGTGTCCACTAGAATTATTGTATTTCAAAATCCTTGAAACAGAGTGCCGAAATTTCCATTCGGCTCTCTGTTGACGAATGTGAAGATTGTCAATTGATTTATGAGGTCTCGAGTTTTTGAAATGCGGGATTTCTGCATTGATTGAAAAAAAAAACTGTACATAAGTGGACTCTCACTACAAATTTCTTGTCTGCGGAGATTTTCTCTGCATAACGATTTTTTTTTCTGGTCCGTAGAATTTCGTGGAGAATTTTGTTTTGTATGCGACGAAATTCTCTCGACAACAAATGTTTTCCTGATGCGCCTGCATTTATTTGTAGAGAAAGTCAACATGTTTTCGAATTTAATAGAATTTCGTTTTCCACGACAAACTTTTTTTTGGTTCCTTGAGTTCATTTGTGGAGAAAGTTATCCTGTAATCGAAGTCAACTCGTTTCCTGGCGCTTTTCTCCTTGTCAAATGCATTTCGCGCTTATCAAAGTCGAGACGAAAGCATTAATTTTCCCGTTTTTCCCCCTTCAATTGAAAGTTTATTTGTTCCCAACCTTTTTCCCCAATTTCCCCTATTTCGTTCAACAACTGGTTATTACGGTTCCATGACCAATAACCCGTGATTGGAAGGAGAGCATTCTAGGGGTTGGGGTTTTTTGTCGGAGGAAAAGTGGATTGCTTTCGAGGCACGTGTCTGACCTCGTTGAAGACCACATTGAACATGCTTATGCCAATTCAGTTGGAAAGCAACCCGAGGTTGTTTTCCTTTTTGCTCATTTTATTTGTCAGAGGGATCGAGATGAAATGCTGTCGACGAGAAAGCTTTCTCGGGAGAAAGTGTCGTCCTTTGTTTTTGGGGTTGAATAGCGGAAAAAGTTTTTATTCAAAATTGGAGCGTAGCACTGCTGCTTTGCCATTTTCCGGATAAAGTGGAAAGCGTCGTACTATTATACTGTAGTACTGTACAGTACTTGCATGGAGGACGATTTTTCTTTTTTTTATTATGACGAGAAAATACTGCGAGGAAGCATCATTGAAAGTAGGAACTTTGCCCGAATATCGCTGTATTTGTGCGCGGATGATGTGAAGAAACTCGTTAGGATAAAGTGATTTCCATTTTATCAGTCATTTGTGATTCGCTCGATTGATTGAATAATTGGGTGACTTCTCGCGCTAATGGATACCAGAAAGAATGTTGGGATCTCGAAAGAATTTCAGACAAATGGTTTTTCTATTAATGTGGTCATCAAAGGAAGGGGGGACGAAGCGATAAAAGAGAAGATAAAATTTTTGATAGCATTCTCTGGACAAGAATTAATGTTTTTCGGAATCAAACCAGGTTCGTTGAATAAAAAAAAAATCATGAAGATGTTTCTTTGTAACTACAAGAGAATCTCACCGATTCGAATTTCAAGGGACCAGAAAAAATACAAATTGAGTTAGGATAATTTTGAATAGCAGAAACAAGCTCTTTTTTGTTTGGGAAAAGAAATAAGGATTGCAGAAAATTTTAATTATTGATATTTTGGGCCTTGAATTGCTTCTGAACTGAGTTGATGGGTGGCTGAACTTGGAGGCATGGGTTAATTTGCCAAATTATTTGTTAGTTTCCTTTCAAAATGCATCGGATTACATTTGTATCGCTTTTTTTTTCTTTCTTGTCTTGTTGAACTAATAGCCAGAAGCCCTCGGAGAATTTAACTGACAGTGGTTTGATGAGGAAATTATTCTGGTTGGGGTGAGATTTTCAAGGCATTGTTTTTAAAGGAATAGAGGCATAGGGACTTGGAAAAAAATTCGTAATTGTGAGATTCTATTTATTGGGTTTCAACTGTATTTTGTCCAATGAATTACTTGTGTAGGAGTGTTCCAGGAATTTTTTGAGAAAACCTCAAGGATTTTCTGATGTGCTGAATTATGCTTCTTTGGGATGCCAAGATTTTTCTTTCTTGCTCTCCCACTTTTTCCAACGCAGATTTCATGATTGTACTTCGCCGAAATACTGTTTTCAGGATTTTGTTTTTTGAATATGTAATATTTTTATGTTGGATTTTGCTATAAAACGATCAGTGTTGCCAAAATTTCGTAATTATCAATCATTTTCTTGATGAAAATGCGTGCGTCTTGTGCGAGTCCACCAACAACTATTTGCCTGCCACCTGGCGGCTGATGGTTGAAAATGTTAAATCACGAAACTTCCGGTTTCCTTCCTGCTTTAATGAAGCTCTTGTTTGTTACAGGTCCGGAAGAAGGGAAGGTGCTCGGTTCGATCCTACTTCCGTCGTACAAAATCCGTCCTTGTTCCGGCGAAGAAAAGTTGTTCCGCAAATTCGCTTTCAAGATCGAACACCTGAATATGCGAACGTATTTCTTCGCGGCGGACAGCAAAGACTCGATGACTCGGTGGATGAATGCCCTCAGTCTGGCCAGCATCATGCACAGCAAAGACGGAAAGTGAGTCCCGAAATTTCATTTTCAATTTATAAATGCTGTAATCAAGAATTACAAAAGGAGGCGGAAAGAAAGTGATACAGTATATCCAAAAATAAAACACATAATTCAGCTGTGGGGTTCAGCTGGGGATTTCCTTAAGGAAATCCCAAAAGATAAAATATAAACTATATTTCTTTACCCCAAATTAATTCACAGATCACAAAATCAATCACACAACACAATGGATGAAAAGATAACCTTTACAATCTCACACAGTTTGAAAATTGAATACTTATAAAGAATGTTTCTGCAATCTTGAAAGAACACCACACGAATATGCAGCTAATAATTTTGTTTTACTGTCGGGAGTACAATATAAAATAAGCATCGCATCAGGTTTTTTTTTTTAAGGAATATAATGTATCGAATAGCAGCAGTCGACCAGAATTTCGAAAAGTTCCATTTTCATTCATGTAGAGAAGCGTACTGCACTGCCGATTAATTTCAGACTACTTGCGTTTCCTTTTGGTAGATGTCGCTTCAAATTTAATGTCAATCCTTCCAGACTCGCATTATTAATTCCAGAATTTTCTGGATTCCCAGACTTTTCGCTCGCATCAATTTGGTGCCGATGAGTTGATATTTTCGGGTACAGTATAAATAATCTCATTGTTCTGAAAATTTCGGGTCTCGTTTTTTTTCCCACATTCCGCTGGCGGAATTGTGGCTGTAGTTTTTTTTTTCGTTTGTGGGATTCAATGATTACTTATGTCACACTGCCGAAATACTATATTTGAAGGTGTGCAGAAGTCATGTTTAAATGATTTCCGACCAATTTCTTTTTTTCTTGGAATTCATCTCGAGCACATTTAAAATAAATGAAGATTAAAACAAATCCTTCCCGAAGCGGGGCTTCTGCTTATCCCAGCTTTTCTAAGCGGACGATGTGTACTGCCTTCTGCCTTTTTCGGACTGCCAGTCACGTCTTTCCAGTTATATTTATTCCCTGGATCGTTGCGCAAATATCCCCAAGCCCTTCCGCCAGTCTTGGTCTTGGCTGGCACCGCATGAGATGTCTCCTGCACCAGTTAAATCAAGGGGTGCATGCGCCATATGCTGTGCCACTGGGAGATCCGGGCATTTTGAGGGGTGGGGGGGGGGGGGAAGGGAAAGGGGTGAGAACATGAGTGACGGGGTTGGAATATAAAAGGGATGCGTCAAGACTTGGTGCAACACAACACTTGTCAGTTGGTGTGCCTCTTCTTCCTCTGCGCAAAGTTGTTCTTGAGAGTGGGTGAAGATTGTGAATGTGTGAGGTTGGGTTCAAGAGGGAATCCCTGTGGAATGTGTTTGGGACAGGGATGAGGGAAACTAATTGTAGTGGGGAGGTGGATTCTCGCTTTGCAACGAATTTTCTGTGTATGTCGGTGTTTTTAGGGCCCGTGGGGTTCTTTTCCGGTGTTACAGGGGTTCTCAAGCTTAAAATATGAAAATAAAAATTTGTGCAATGATTGTATCCACAGCGATTTTCCCTGTGCAGTACAGGTGGACTCTCTCTACAATGAAAGTCATGAGCCAGAAAAAAATTCGTTGTAGAGAGTCCGCATAACATAGGGAGAGAACCTTGTGGGACCACAAAAAGTCCTTGTGGAAAGAATTTGATTGTAGACAAGATTGTTGTGGAAAGTCCACCTGCTGAAAAAAATTTTTGGAGGCATATGTTGGGCATGCACGCCAGGTAAAATAGCGTACCTACTTGCTATGATTGTAATAGTAAAACCTTGTGAAGTTTAAATGTAATTAATAGTATATTAAGCTGCTCTTTCTTCATATTAAGATCAGAGTTCAGTTCAGCTGCATTATTCCGATTATTCAAGTTGAGTTCAATTGAGTTGTTGCTTATTCCAACTTTATTCCAAAATATATTTAGCCTCTTAAACTAGGAATTCCATGATGGAATCCTGGTCCTGTCCTGGACTGATTGTTGTGTTTTCTTTATTAGTACTCACTTGACATCAAATTATATTGAAGACAATTGTCCTCAATAGCATAATGGGGGCGGTGGAATAATGTTGTATTTTCTACATGGGATTATTGTCATCAAGCCTCTCCGGGAATAAGCTTGTGAGAAAATATTTTGAAAACCAAAACTTTCTGTGAAAAGGAATTGGTGTTGAAAAAAATGCACACCATAGCATATTTCTTGAAAATTTTCAAGATCTGTCCCAGAATGTATGCCTTTCTTTCAAATTCAACACCATGTTATAAAAAATGTTCCTCTATTTGAAGGAACTGACAGGTATGAAGGTTCTGTATACTGTATTCATAATATTGACTAAAATATACAAACTCTTTCCAAACGCCCTTGTGAAGTTTATGTGATCTGCTATGCTTGGTTGAGCCCAGAGCACAAGTCAGTATTTCACTATCCCCTTGCCAACTGGAATTCCTTTCCCAACCTTGTTCATGCTTGTTTCTTTTACTGCGCAACAAAGTATGATGCTCCCAATCCAAATTGTTCACTATGCACATTCCTTGACCTTGGCCTGCCAAAGTTAAAAATACTGGTGTGTTCAAGTGTAAGGCAAGCTTACCACATTTGGACACTATGGAGATACCTTGTCGTCATTGCTCTTCTCCACAACATATTGTTTGTTTGATGCTGTGTGAAATTGCATCAATGAAAATACTTCTTAATACTCTCATGGAGTAACTTTTGTGTTTCCTTTGGAAGTTGCGGGAAAAAAAATTAATTCTCCAACCTCAGTCTACATTGGTAGAGCAATTAATTTAATGGCAACTGTATACAGTATGTATATTTGTATATTATATGTACATTGTACATGTATATTTGATCAACAATATCTTTTATTTGCTCCTCAGTTTAAGACAACAATACACTGATTCAAAAAGAACTACAGTATTACTGCCATATGTAGTCATTATGCATGCATTTTTTTTTAAAGCAAGACACTTTAGTAGTTTAGTGGAAGGGCAGTTTCTTTTAATGAATGAGGAAATAACAGTTCTACTTATTGCAGACCTTTTCTTGGCATATCGAAAACACCTGATAATCACGAAATGTCTTGAATTGTCTGGTTTTCAAGCACTTTACAGGATTTGTTGCGCATTTTTTACAAAATGTCAGTCGAAAATTCGTTAAAAACCCTGAATTTTAATACAATGAATTGTTTGTCATGTCACTGTGAGTTCGTTATAATGAGATTTTACTGTACTATGGTACAGTAATCAGGAACAGTGTTAGAAGTTCATGCTATTCTAACCTTAGCATGTTCTGATCTTAGTGTTCACCTTAGTGTGTTCTAACCTCAGTTTGTTCTAACCTTAGTGTGTTCTAACCTTAGTGTTGACCTTAGTGTGTTCTAACCTTAGTGTTGACCTTAGTGTGTTCTAACCTTAGTGTGTTCTGACCTTAGTGTTGACCTTAGTGTTGACCTTAGTGTTCTAACCTTAGTGTGTTCTAACCTTAGTGTGTTCTAACCTTAGTGTGTTCTAACCTTAGTATGTTCTAACCTTAGTGTGTTCTAACCGTAGTGTGTTCTAACCTTAGTGTTGGTTAGTGTTGATCATTCTAACCTTCGAAGCTCCATCTTAGGGATAAATCTTCCTCTATCTCGACTGTCAAGGTTTTATTGCGGCATGATTCCTTGAAATTTTGGTGAGACGAAAAAAAAAGTTGTGGATTCGAAGAAAAACTGACGAGATAACATCATATCAGCCGTGGTGTACAACAAAGCTCTTACTCAGTGAAAAGCCTCACAGAAGTGCTCAACAAACTTACTGTTTCGTGCGTCCGTGCACGCATTAATATTCGGCTCATTGATAAGGTTTCGCGTTGAACGCAAGCAATGACTCGTGTCAATTTCCTTGTCGACGAGACGGACGACTCAGAGTCAAATACCACGTCGACGTGACAGTACTTTTATATATGCCTTTTCCGGCTTCGGTTTTATTCGAGTGGGGGTGTAGCCCCGAGATGCGGACGTGAATTGGTGCTTGTCTTCGTGTTGGAACGTCCGCATGTCGGGTCACGTTTTTGTTCAGACTTCAAACGGAATATGCTGTTTTTAATTCGTTCTCCTGTTGATCTAAAATTGAGGGGGAAAACCCTGCTTCCCCTGAAATTCCTTTTTTTTCTCGATTTCGTAATACAGGAAATGAACTGTGCGGAAGAAAACCACGGGAAATCATATTTTTTGGCAAGAAAAGAACCTAATAAAAAAAGCAAATCTTCCCATTCTGATGGAAAGGCTGAAAAAATAAGCAAAAAATTAGCCTATTTTGGATCGTGAATCATGGTGAATTTATAATATTTTTGTGAATATGAAAGCTTAAATTGTTCAAGCAAATATAAAAATTTAGGCGAAGGAAAAATTTTGAATTATTCTAGAAATGTTTGGAAAGTGTCCGGATGTAGGGGCCCGACTCTATTCTCTTGTGCCTCATTTTTTTTCAGTGATTCCTGCTGGTGGTTTACAATTTCAATTTTTAAATTTTATTCGGATCAGCGTCACGTTACGAGCGTCGACGAATTCATGTACTGTACAGTACCATACTTTTAATGCCCATGCGTTTTCTTGCTTGTTGTTCAAGTTTCTCCTATGAATTTTTTAAAACAGCTCGGCTTTTTAAAATTTTATTTTTTAGAAGCCAAGGTCATTGAATTTGTGGTGATTGGATCGAGGGATCAAGTTGAAAATCATTAAGGAAAAAAAATTATTGCAGAATCGCCGAAGTAACTATTTATCATTGCATAGGTTTTAGTGCATACACAAGAAAAATATCAAAAGGAAAAATTTCGAAAGATAATTTTTACAGTATTCCACAAAAAAAATTCAAATTTCGAAATTGAAAAATATCATTTACAGTATTCCACAAAAATTTCAAAGTTTGAAATTGAAAAATATCATTTAAAAATATGTTTTTTCGGAAAGTGCACAGAACGAAGTTTATCGAGAAAATCGCCGAGGTAGAAAGTTCTCTTCAAATATATTTCAGGAGAACTATCCAGTACAAAAACTGTTCAAAATACATACAGTATTTTCAGAAGATAATTTTTCGAAGTTTACTTACTAGAATGAATCGAATAAGAAGTCTTCCCCACTCTAAAATGGAATGAAAAATCGACAAAAAATTTTGCGTCCCGACGTCACGTAGCAAAAAAAAAGAAAAAAAGGTGGGGGAAGCCTTTGGAAGGAGTGGTTTTTTAAGTACATTTTTTGTTCCTCCTCTACGTACTTGCGATGTATAAGGAATGACGATGTGGTTGGTTATTGATTCAGCTGTTTAAAAAAAAGTACCGGGGTTAAAGAGGATATCGAGGCTTAGTGTAATTCTCGAAGGTGTTACAACTTCCTTGAACCGTTATCGTTACCGAGAAGCAACCATTTTAGTTATATTTTTATTTTACTTCTCTTTTTTCATTTTGTCCTTGTCAACCAATGAGGTCACTCACAAGTGGGTGTTGCCCGTCCCAACCGCAACGTGTTGACAATTGGTCTTATCCGAATGGCCTTTAGTATTCCGGCAACGCGTCGCCGACTAGATTTTTATTGTCAACTGGGGGTTGATGAGGTGTCGCAGGAATCTGGGTTGGTTTAGTCGTGGCATGTTCTTCTGTGCTTATAATGGTGTAATCAGGAATCACCTGATGAAATTGGTTTCGACAACAATCCAATCCCCTCCCCCTTGTTTCCCTTTGGATTTCTTGGTGTTAATCATTCATCATGCCCAAGTTGTTATTGAGGAATGTCCTGATGAGATTATTGATGTTTGCCAGTTCTTTTTATTTTTGGGGGGGAGGGGGTTTTTCATAAGTTTTGCTGGCACTTTCCTGTCTTGCTTAGTGCAAATTCCCAATATAGCGAAATATCACTGCAATAAAGCCATTGGGACCAGTGAAATGACCTTATTGTGAAGTAAGTCATTTGACTTTTTTGCTATTGGGGAGTCACCTATAAATTACTTTACTATTAGTCATTGTTTGCCAAAACTAGTTTCATCCTATTTCTAATGGGATTCTACATGCAATGCAGTCAGACCTTACTAATTGAAATATATCTGTGTCAAACTTTTGTTTAGTCCCTGTCTGATTTCCCCTAAGAAACATGTGATATAGACCTCCCAAAGACTTACTCCTCTATAACTCAAATTTCTGGAGACCTTAAGCATATTTTTTGGGATACAGGAAGGAGAAGAGGAATCAAAATGCAAATTTTAATCTTTTCAAAAGAAAGTCAGGGACCAATTGTGCGAATGTACCCCTGCCTCCAATCCAGTAACTCATTTATCCAGCAGTTTGAGACACAGGACATTAAAATTCTCAACTTCCTGTAAATTATTTTTGTTTCCTCAGGAAAAATGTTGGTTTTCCAAACTCAAAAACTCCTGAGGTCAGAATTTTTTTTAGTCCCTCTGAATTTGACTTGAAGAGGTTTGACTGTGTTTTACAATTTATTGACCATCATTCCCATTTTGGTGCATCATGGGTGCAAATGGGTAATGGTGACGAGGTTCACATGAAATACATTTCTCCTTTTAAAAATTTTGATTTTATGGCAGTATGATGAATTTCTAAGTATTTAAAATAACATTTTCTTTCTTATGCTGTGCAATGTATGATGATGACACCAATCCACATCAGTTGCTATGAATGTTGCTCAACCTCAGCCAACCAAAGTTATAAATGCAGGTGTTTCTTTATGTGTTGCAAGTTTACCCCATTTGGACTCTGCTGCATTACCTTGTTGCTGTCACTCTGCTCAAACACATTATTATTGTACAATTTTTGTGTGAAGCTGTATAAATAAACACTTGTAATTCTCACAGAGTAACTTTAGTTTTTTTTTTGGAAGTCATGGAAAACTATTTAAATCTCCAACCCTTGTCAATGTTGGATTGATTGTATCACATGAACAATATCCTAATGGTCTGGTCAACAATTGAATCAAATTTGCTCACCAACTTGAGACAACAACATAAATGATGGGAGGCAGTCCTCTCAGTTATTTTATTGATTCCGCTGAGTTTTGAAAGTTTCTGATTCAGAAACATGGGCACCCAGGAAACTTCCTTCCAAGGCACTGATAGATCTTCTCAGCCTTGACACAGTGCAGTGTTCTGTGTGGTAAGGCAAAATTTATTTATTTTAGAAGCAGATAAGATGAGGAGTTACACTGTCTGAAAGTGTTACACTTTCTAGAAAAATCCTGTGAGAAATTCAAAGAAAATTCATAAGACCCAACTGCAGTGAGACCCCAAGATGCGGACATAATTGGTGCATCAAGAGTGTCCCTAAGTATTATTTATCAAACTTTCATTAGATCTTTGGGGAATACCGTGAGATCCCAAGATGTGGATGTAATTGGTGCATCAAGACTGTCCCAAAGTCAAAATGTCCCTAAGTTGAGTCTTGTTTTCTGTTGGAAATATCTGTTTCTTGTGATTTGGCCTGAAATGTATTTGCAATTTTATGACAAAATGTCCCTATGTCGAGTCAGTGTCCTCATGTCGGGCCTATTTTATCAATTTTTTCAGGGAAAATAAGTGTCCCTATGTCAAATTGTCCGCAGGTCGGGGTCTCACTGTATTTGAAAAGGAACCGCTGTGGTGTGAAACCAGTCATGTGATCTAAAACTGGTTGCTGAGGTCACCAGCATTCCTCACCATTCGGATTAAATCTGATTCATTAAACCTGCTCGAAATCTGAAACAAATCAGAAACCCACCCTGGATGTATATAAGTAGTACTGTACTCGAAGATTTGTACTGATGCTTTAGAACTGGATGGAACTCTACTGTGTGTCGCCATGGGCGTGATGTGTCTTGGAATGGTCGAGGGTTGTGAAATCGATAGACGGAGGAATGCAGAGGATGTATTTATGCGTCAGAAGGAATGTGGGCGCAGTTTGTTTCTGTCGGCTCATGCACATGCGGGAGGTCCATTTCCCGGATGAGCCGGGAAATTGTATCTTGTGTGTGTGTTGCGGAACGCTTGTTTTATTTTATGTAGTTTTTTTTTTTTTTTTACGTTTGAGCAATTTGCACATTTTCAGTCCTTCTTCAAATGGTCATTTTTTCGAGAATGATTTGTATTTTGTGTGGCTCAAGTTAATATTTGTGTGCAGAGTATTTTTATGTTTGAGCATTTCGCACATTTTCAGTCCTTTTTCAAATGGTAATTTTTTTTTCGAGAATGGCGCTGTATTGTATTTTGTGTGGCTGAAGTTAACTTTTGTACGCAGTCTTTTTGCATATGAGCATTTCGCACATTTTCAGTCATTAACAATTTTAATTATCGGAAAAGTCTTTTGACTAAGATTTCTTAGTGAAGAATTTTAAAATGTAAAATTGTTTTTCGACCTGGTGGACTAGTTAAATTTCCCGCTTATTATTCAAGAATGTTTGTGGAGAATGTGAAATTAAAGGAAAAGTTAAGGGAAATGGATTTTATTTCATGAAGGTGTACATTAAAAAAAAATGTTTCCATTAGCACCCGGATGTTTCGAAGAATATGTCCCTCATGAAATATGTTGGAATGTTTTGTCCAGCATAATATGCAAAAAGTAGTAGCCTTATGTTCTGCATCATTGAAACAAATTCTGTATTTCGTAGCACCGTAGATCATGAAATTTTAATTGAATGTGGTGTTGAAAGATGTGGTTCTTCGGATGTGAGATGAATTCACAGTCATTATAAATTCAGAATTTCGTTGCACTTTTACTGTCCTCAAATTTATTAAAAATGTGTGTGATTGGTAAATCGAATTTTCTTATATAGTACAGTAGTGGGGTGGAAAACTTTTAGGGCTGTCGGTTTCATTTCAGTTTCAAATTATGTCATCGAAAAGTGGAGGAGTGATCAGAAAATTTCTCGTTTCACTGTGTTTCCTGTATAAAATTTGAAGATGGAATTCCTTGTCCCTGAAATTTGTTGCATTATTTAACCTTTTTTTCCCCTCTTATTTAACGTGCGTTTCTTCTTTTTCTTCTCAGGATCGAAGAAAACAGCGTGATGAACGGCGATGAAGCAGACGGCGGGTTCCGATCCCAAAGCAACTGGCGACCCAAGAGCCTGGACGCCAGTCGAACCCTGAATCGCAGCTGGGGTGACTGGAACCCACCACCACCAGCACCCCCGTCATCATCCCACGCAGCATCCTCTGGACAACCCGACACCAACCAACAACGTCTCAACGCCAGTTATGACTCGGAGATGTCGCCTCCTCTCCTGCGACAGCCCCTGTATGCTAACGCACCTCCCAAGCCCAAGAGAATCGTCGATTGGGAAAATGGTCAGATTGGACCGGATTACGCTTATGGTCCTATCCCAGGAATGACACCCAATAATCTGGTTGCTGCGTATAATCCGGCTGATAGAAGAACCCCTGAGGCGTATGCTCGTTCTAGATTCGACTATGAACAACAACAACAACAACAACAACAACAGCAGCAGCAACAGTCACCAGCACCCGTTTTTCGGAAATTGCAAACGTTGCCAGCGAGACACCAGTCGCCGTATGCGTCAGTTGTTGGTCCTCCTCCATCATCATCATCATCAGCTGCTCAACACCAGCAGCAGCATCTCAGGAAACCCGGGTACCATCGACAACAACAACAACATCAACACCACCACCACCAGCAGCAGCAAAATCAGTCCTTTGCACCTCAACGTCCGCATTCCGCGGATTTCTTGGACTTTGAACCGAATTTAATGCCTCGGACGCAGCAGGGTCATCGTCATCCGAGACCCAAGTCCAGCATTGACCAGCTGCCACCCAGTGATTATTGGTCGGAAGAAGCTGCGTATGCGGAGAAGATGCGACAGATGACGCGGCCGTCGAGTGTGAAGCCGCCGTCGTCGCTGGCATTGAAGTCCTCCGTCGTCACCGCCGCCTCACCGGCGCCTTCGGCGGTGGCGGCGGCTGTTGTTGTCAGCCAGAATGGACAGATGAGCGTGAGCCCGCATCCGAATTACTCTTCGCAGACGTTTCCTTCCCGAGCTGCCATGTCGATGACGAATCCGACTGGGAATGGGGTTGTTTCGGATAGACGGGATAATCGTCAGCAGACGTCGACGATGACGACGACGACGAGGCATTCGCCGTCGTTGGACTCGACGGCGAATAATGGGTTTTTGAGATCGGCGAGTGCGAGGTTGCCGAGACTGAAGCAGCCGAGAGACCAGGAGTTGATGTTGCAGTCGGCTGCGAGTGTGGCCTATTTGGAGGACCCCGACTGCGATCCGTCCAAGATTGTGGACCGGAAAAAGCTGCAGCAGGTCGGTTTGTATGAAGTATGTCATCTTGCGTCCTATATATATTTTACTGTATATGTATATAAATTTGTAGAGTCAAAACCTCGGTTTGGTGCCATCATTTGTCCTGGCACATTTTTTGTGACACTAAATCAGGGGTATTGTGTCAGAGGAACATTTAGTTGAGGGCTTGTACTGTACAATAGGTAAAAATATGCTTGTTTGCAGAATTTTGGGGCCATTCAGTCTGTTTTATATGAATGAATGAACAGAACACTTTATTTGCTGCTTATCAGCATTCACAAGGTTCAATCAAGATTTCCACAAACAAACCCCCTTCCCAGCCAACCCAAATCCACTCAATGACATTTCAATCACTTCATGGCAGGAAAGCACAAATTGCTAACAAAAATAAAAGCAAATACAATACAACATGAAATACAACTGGACATCAGGCATGTATGCATACACCCATTCATTCCCTGACAAGCCCTCTGTTTTATAAGAGAGACAGTCAAAAGAAGCAAATTGGAGGATCAAATGAAATGTTTTCAACTCAATTTAAATTTCTGTAATGGTACAGAATACTGTCTATTAGATTTGTGCACATGCATTGCTGGGTCAAGTGAAATATTGGAACTGTTTCTTGCACAAATTTTTGGTAAACCATTCAATGAAAGTCCAAAAATTTCAAGATCAGCTGGAGTGATTTATAATTTTTTTATAGACTTTCAGTTACTGAGATTCTCTCTGAGGCCAACCAAATAATTCCACTCTCCTTCTGTACATGTAAATTCAGGAGTATAATTTTCAAAATCATCCTGAGCATATATGCATGTGATTCTCAGCAATAACCTCATGATATTCGTAGAAATATGTCTTTTAATTTCTCTGATCTTTGCCTCTTGGCCTATTTTTCATTCAGGATGAGACATTTTTTTTGTGGCACAAAATCGGAGTGTCCTTTGGGATCACAATGGAGGAAGATTTGTTCCAGTGTGATTTGTAGCTTTGTGTGGGGGTGGCAATTATTCTAGTTTTGACTGTCGAGTCAAAACCTCGATTTGGTGCCACCATTTTTCCTGGCACATTTTGTGGCACTAAATGGGGGTATTTTAAGAGAGCGAGGATTAGTTGACAGATTTGTATTTTAGGAAAAATGAGATTGTTAAGTTTGTAATTTTATAATGCCACACTCAAAGATGATCAGTGTCGGTGAATTTTTGTGCATAGAATTTTGAAAAGTCCTCTTGCCAGGGTTGAATAATAATTGAGGAATGTCTACTGACCATTTGAGATTGGGTTGGGGGGGGGGGAGGTTCCAAATCAGGTTATAAAATGAAATTTCTCTCAAGTTTTTTTGTTTGCGTGTGTAGCTTTCGACCTGGGGGTTTGAAGAAAATGGATGAAATTTTGTAAAATGTGGGGAATCGGGCACAACTTTTGAATCTGGATCGCGGATTAGGTCTTGATTTAGTTGTCAATCCTGATGAGTTTTGAAAATACGCTCTTGTGACTATCCGTTGTCAATTTTTGTCGCGTTGCGTATCCAAGCATTTGCTGTTTCTAATTTTTAGATCCGAAACCTCTTTTCCATGGAATGAATGCTGATGAAAATTTTGGAAAATGTATAATGAATTCATATTATTTATTAGAGACGATGTGAGGGGAATTAATTTCGGAGACATTTTTTCAAGATTTTTAGTATTTTCAGAGTTTCTCGCGTCTGTTTTATTTTTATGTACATTGTTCTGGAGAATCCCGTGTGTGGTTTCGTCAAATCATTTGAATTGTTCGTTCGACGTTGATAGATGGAACTCGTAGATGACTCACAGTCACAGATAAGAAAAATTTGCTTTTCAATATTTTTCTTTATCGGCCTCAATGTCTGACTTGTGGTTGTAAAACTGACTGTGGTTTTATTCCCAGAGCTACCTCGTCTACTTTACTGATTCTCGAGAATCACTTCATACGAAAGATTATCTTGTTCTTCTATTACTTTTTTTTTCCAAGGGTGAAGACTTTTTTTTTAGACCAAGAATTAAATGTGACAGTGCTGTACGTTTTTGTGTTGAAAAAAAATTTCAGTACCTTTCCTCAACGAAACCTTACTTTAAAAAAAAGGTCTGCAACGCAACTGAATGACAATAAATGTCGCTTGAACAAAAAGGAAGAAGCGTACATCGTTCACGTCATCGCATTTTAGCGTGAAACCGGTTTCTATTTGCATGTTTGTGCTAATCGTACGTACTGTTCTTGTCAAAATTTTAGCAGAGCACACTCAGGGTCGCACGTAATGTTATTCTATTGATGTGTTTTATGCCGCCTGGAAATTTTTTGCGCTGGAAATGCCCTCGGAAAAGGTTTTTTTTTTATTGTTTAAGCGGTTGTAATACTGGGTGGACCGGTATTTAAATTTGTGGTCTGAATTCTTTTCGCTCTTTGTCGTTGAAGGCAATTATCTGTCCAGTGTAAGAATTTCTGCTTTCATTTGTATCTCGTGTTGCCCATGAACTTTGGAAAAATGCCAGATTTTATGCATATTTTGTGTGTGAAGGTTTTCAGGTTGATTATGCCGCCACCAGAATAAATCTCTCTTTGCCGTTCTTCTGAAAAACTCTAAAGGTAATGGGAAAATAATTTTAAAAAATCAAAATTTCTGATTATTTTGAAGAAAAACGAAAATACGAGTGTTCCTTGAGTGACTGGAGTGTGTGTGTGTGGCCCCAAAAATTTTTTTTTAAAGAAATTCAAGGAAGCCGTGTCTGAACAACTAATTAGAACTCAAAGAAGAACATTAAATGAATATACCGCATCTCTTTGGGCATGCTCAATCATTCTAATTATTTTGTAAATGAATGAACAGAAAGCTTTATTTTCCGCTTTTCAATGTTCACAAGGTTTAATCAACATTCCCACATCTAAACCCCCTCCCCACCCAACCCAAATCCATTCAAACACATTCAATCACTTCAGAATGGGGAAACACAGAGAAAAGCTGCATTTGGATACCAAAATGAAAGAAAATACATTCCACTGTACAACTGATGTGTATGCGTACACCCCCTTCTTTCCCTGACACTCAAAACAAAATATCAGTAACAAGAATTCCAACATAAGCCAGAATTATAGCAATTACAGAACCCAATTTAAAGCACAAGGTCTTCAGCCTGTTCCCAGGTAAGGTTTAATTGGATGAACAATTTAGAGAGAATCTTTGAGGAGGAATCATATAAGGCCAACAGTTTATCTTGATCCTCTATGATTTGAGAAAGGGTCTCTTCATTGAATTCCAATACTTTTAAATTTTTACTTGAGCTCATTTCTATCATTATGGAATGCTGGGCATAAGCAGAGAAGGTGCTCTGGCAATGCACCAACCAATGTATTTATGCTGCAGGAATTCCACCATTTAGACATCTTTGAAAATTGGATGAATTTTCTACTGAAGTGCCATGAATTTGTATTACTATTATTGATGATTATTTTGTAAACATTATTTTTTTCTTCTTCGTATTGAGCAGCGAGAGGAATCGATGAAGCGGCTGCTGGAATGGAAACAGCGGATGCTCCAGTCGCCACTGACTCGAAAGGCCCACTCTCCCAAGCCTGAATCTCCGAAACTCGGCAGCACCAATAACAACAACAACAACATTACCCCCGCTGGCAACAACAGCAAGTATCGTTGGCAAGACGTCCCTCTGCAGCAGCAGCAACACAGGAAAGAACACGCGACGACGACGACGACGGGGCCCATGAATGGGACAGCTGGCCGTCAACAACGACCGACGAGTCTGGAAGTGACGCCCGTGATGGCGGCCGTGAGCAACGCGGGCGCCGCGGAACCGCATCATCGCAAAACCCAGCGTGTCAAGGGCGACGGTTTGGCGAATGATGATGATGATGACGAGGCTCATCGCCGTCATCATCACCAAGGACAACATCATCAGCAGCAGCAGTGGGGACCGAGTAGCAAGTCTTCGCACGTGCATCGGAACCAGGCGTATGCCAGCTTTTCATCTGATGACGGTAAGTTGTTCGTTATAATTTTTTTTTTTTTTTTGGGTGGGTGTTGGAGAAGTTTGTTATTTTTATTGTTGATTGTCGATTCCCGATTTAAAACTGGGGGGAAAGCGGAATTTCATCAATAAGTTGTGGGCGTGTCAAAGATTAACTATTACTGTTACATGACGTCTTTTAGGCGAGAGGTTTTCGACCCTATTTTGAAATCAATATTTTTATACTGTCTGTCTTGATTTTATATCGTATTTTTAATCAATTTTACGGAAAAATTACGAGACTATATCGAAGTTGTATTCCAGTATTTTATCAAATGTAGTAAAATAGCGCTCTTTGGGATTTGCATGATGGGAATTTCATGTTTCAAACCTATAGCGAGTTTTCGAGAAAATCTCCTTCTCCCGCGTGAAGAATTACAACGAAGGAAGGCATGGAATGCTGATTTTAATGAGAAATGGATTAACAAGACTTACCGCATGAAAACATTGATATTATAGTGTATACTGAACAGTGAATGAGTCCCGCATAACGAAAGACCCGTACAACGTAAAAATTGGAATAACGAAATTTTTCAATGGGTAAAATGGAACTCAAATAACGAAGCTGTTTTCACGTATCGAAATTGTATGGCCCAAAAATGCTTGAAATATAAATAAAGAAATTCACTAAAATTTCTAAATATTCTTCAAAATATGGAGGAAAATCGGGAAGATGTTTTTTTGCTTCTTGCCCTAATGATTGAATTCGTAAGATCGAAATTCATACTAGAAAATTTTAAATTTACGATTTCATGGGGGGGGGGGAATACAATTTTATGTGAATAAAAATGAAGAGTTATAATGGTTCATCGTGGCTTTTTGGTGAGTTTCTGGGAGAAAAAAAATTACCGTACATAATTTACAATTTAATCTTATGGGGAATCGTTTTTCGCATTACGAAAATTCCGCTTAATGGAACACCCCTAGGAACCGATTAGTTTCGTTATGCGGGAACCCAATGTATTTCTGTCTGTGGGATTTTCTCCCCTGCCGAAAGCTGGAGTCGTTTTGCGCGGAAAATTGAAATAATATTTCGAGTGCGGGATTTTTTTTTTTTTTTGGCGATTGGGAATGGTTATGATTTTCGTGTTGGTGAATGGCGTTAAGCGCGATTTAGAAAGACGCAGATGGTGGCGGTTTACTGCGGGTCAAATATTTTGTTTAAATAAGTTATTACCTTGCGGAGTCACTCCATTGGGCTCATATCCGTCGTTGAAAGATTCAACTAGATAATAATTTTAAAATTCTGTCGGTGGCTAACATGAGGTGGGTTCGAAAGAAGTGGGGGAAGTCATTTGTACGCGATGGAATGTTACTGCTTTCTTTTGGCGTGGAATCGGTCGGCAAGGTGCGACACCTATCCGCGAACCTGTTATTTTTCCATTGCATGTGAGAAACAACTTGGAAAGATGCGTCACGCATGTGCATGTTTTATTGTGCCGACATACTGTACTTTTCCTCGTGGAAACAACTGCCTAAGATGCAATACATACCGGAATTCCTGGTGCTGGGAAATCATGCATGAATTTCGCTGGATCTTGTTGGTGAAAGAATGTGGAGGAAAAGAAAAACCGAATTTCGGAAGTTTTTGGACTGTCTTCGAATTCTTCGCCTGGTGTGCTGTGGTTTTTTATCTTCTCCTGTCTGCTGGGAACATTGTGGTGGATGTTTTCTTTCGCTCTTGTGGTGAAGAGGAATGATGCTCCTGCGACTAACAACACGAGTCATCGCTGCTTCTTCGTTTTGTGATCACTCACGCCAATGCATCCCGATGAAACACGAGTTTCTCGTGAGTTTTGAAGACGAGGATCCTCAGAGCAAAAATAAAGAAAGAAAGAAAAACGTTGAATTTTGGTATTTGAAAAGAAAGGCATGTCGAGGGAGAAACTGATTTGAAAAAGGAATTATTCTCGGAAAAAATAAATAGCAGAAGCGGAAGAAGACTTGGGAATGTCGGCGAGGATTTTGTCGCCATCCCGAGGAGGAGGAGGAGGAGGGATTTCCGCCGCCGCCGCCGCCCCGAATTTCGTGCCCGACTACGTCAACATCTCGCACTTGGCCGCCAGTCCGTCTTCGCCGCCGAGCTTCGTGGCCCACGAGATCCGCTACGACAAGACCGAGTGCTACAAGGCCAACCTGGAAAAGCGGGCCAATCGGTGGCTGCCGGACGTGTTCAAGGCGCCGCAAGTCGAATACTGTTACGAGGCCAACACCGTGTCCAAGGGCCAGTCCAAGTGGGTGAAGACGTCGTCTGCTGCCGCCTCATCATCGACGACGACGCCGAATGGCGGCAAGCAGGCGTCGTCGAACCGGGCCCATCATCTTCAATCGACGACGACGAATGACAATTTCTCGACGGGAAAGTATTCAGACAGTGGATACGACACCGTGCGTTTCGATAGCGTGTCGCGCGAGGATCTTTGTCGCATGTCGTCGAAGCCGTCGTCGTCGTCGACGTCGTCTTTGTACAAGGCCGAGACGGACGTGGCGGCCGCCATGCCAAAGAATCTCGTGCAGCAACGCGTCAAGGCCTTTGAACAACAGCAACAACAACAACAACATAATCCCAACGACGAGCAATGCTACAAATACTCGCCGACTGCGACGGAACCCGAATTAGTCGCCGCGTTTGGAAACGGCAGCATCTGCGATCGAAAGTCGCTCGACGGCGGCGGCGGCGGAGGCGGCGACACTGAAGCTTCACGTGGTCCCGCCGTGCCTCCAAAGCCGTCTCGAGCACATGTTCGACTCAGTATGGTTGAAACGATGGAGAAATCCATCTTGGGGTTGTCGGATAGCGACGACGACGACGATGACGAGGATGGTGGTGGTATGGCGCCTGCTGGCGGCCCGACCATCTCCACAACCGCCGCCGCCACTACCAGAGCCTGGAAATTGGATGATGACGAGGGACTCGTGGACGAACACGACGAGGCAAATGTGGTTGCGGAAGATCATTACTTGCCGATGACACCGCAGAAACAGCCGAGGTCTGCGGCCAACAACAACAATAAGGGCAACACTCCGTCGAGGACTCTCGTCGTGGAGTCCATCATGAAGCGCAGGTATATTTTGAGGGCTCTTATTGAGGCTTATGGCGAGTCTTTATTGGGTTTAAATTACTAACTGTGTAAACAGGATTTCTCGTCTTTTCAAGTGCGGAAGAACTCGAACTAACGGAATTTTTTATCTTTTACTTTTAAACTGCGCTCGAGTGACGCAGAAATTGTCATTGATTAGAGAAGGGCTATTGAATCGGAGGTGAAGGAACACCTGATAACATTTGGAAGCTAAAGCTTTGTTTGAATCTGGGATGATTTCGTGTGCAAATTACCTCTGCCCATTTTTGAGCTAAAAAAAATGTATGTAAATTACGAGGTTTGGTTCATTTTTGAAATAGATCCAACGGATTTCAAGCAATTCAAAATTTTTGTTTTATTTTTTTTTGCGTAGCCTCATCATTTGACAACACTTTAAAATTCTCTCCGCCGATTTGAATGCTTTTTTTTATGCGGTAAATCCAAGGATTGAAACAGTACAAAAAATGGAGTTCCTCTAGTTTATTAAGCTGGAGACTGTCCCTGTCCTCAAAATCAATCCCTTTCAGGTCGTTCTTCACTGTCGGGAACAGTTAGTTATAATCAACTAACTGAACTCGATTTTTGGCACTGTTTTGATCGTTGGACTTGAGGCGTGAAGAAATGCATTGAAATTGGCGTAGAGTTTGTTGAACAGTACTTGAGTATTGCGGAATGATGGGGCTATTCAAGTAAAAACATAAACTCGGAATCGTGGAAAAATTCGTTGGATCTGTTGTATTTCAAAAACAAACAAAAAATCTCAGGTACTTTCTTGTTATCTCTGTACCTTCCCTCTGACCAATTTAACCTGACCTTACCTAACTTCACCTAACCGCCTCCCAAAATCAGTTTCTGCTTTCTTTGGGTTTTTTGCTGAAACTGATTTTGGGAGGCCGTTAGGTAAAGTTAGGTTAGGTCAGGTCAGGTTATGTTAGTTACAAACATCTTTTAACTAACATAACATGACCTAACCTAACTTCACCTAACTGCCTCCCAAAATCAGTTTCAGCAAAATGCGGAAAAATAAAATTCCCAGTTTCTTGTAGGTTTTTGGGATTATGAACTTGTCCTAAAGATTTGTCTGGATGATGGTAGTGCCGTCTAGGAATGAGATACTGAGATAACAGGAAAGTACCTACTTTCTTTTGTTTTAAGGAATCTCCAATGCTGATCCTATGCTAGGAATGCAGGAAAAAAATTCATCAAGTGAGGGATTTTGTTAAAATTCTCTGTTCATAAATAGTTTGCAGATTAGAAAAAATATTGCACTTTTCCCAATTTAGGTCTTGTTACAAAAATGGGATTTTTAAATTTTCAGTGCGCATGAATGGGCTCAGAATTTTACTTGGATATGTTTGACTATATGTTCATGTAAATTTATAAATTGGGTTCATGAGTACATTGTGGTTCAGGGACTGTTTCCTCAATCTGGTGATGTTGTGTTGAAATTAAAAATAAATAAAAATCTTGAACTCCACATCTCTGTTTTTCAGATTGGTACTCACTCAATTTATTTCTTGTAATGCATATTTTATGAACTCTTTGAAAATCTTCCTGTTCTAGTTTTTTTTTGTGCAGGTTCTGCTTGACAATTTCAGGATGAGACCTGCTCTCCAATTATTATTGACACATAACATATCTTTGTGGGATCTGAACCCCATAGCTGTATAGGTTCATTTTAACACGTTTTCATTAACTCGCTTTCTTGTCCGTTTGTTTGTCCAGATCAAATTTTTCAACTCAAATTTTGCTCCCTTCCCGACTAGCTAGCAAGCTGAAACTTTCAGGATAGTGAAAAATAAAATTCACAGTTTCTGGTAGGTCGTCGTGATTATGAACTCGTCCTAAAGATTTGTCTGGATGGTAGTGCGGTCTAGGAATGAGGTACAGAGATGAGAGGAAAGTACCAAATCCCAAAACATATGAATCTACCCTCTTATGTTGCTGCTGTTGCTGTTTCCTCGCGAATTGATCAAAGCCCGAAAAGAATCGAAGTTCTTCTTTAGTCCGTTAATTTAGGTTAATTACATTGAAAAACGAGACATCGTTGCAAATTGGGGTGAGGGAGGGGAAAACAGCCACAAAGAAAAGAAAGAAAAGAAAAAAAAAAACTGGTGCCATGCTGCCGCGCAGGTACGAGGAAAGCACGTACGTGGACATGACGGAGGAGCACCTGGCCACCGCCGCCGGAACAGCAGCGGGCCATCGGGCGCTATCTGTGTTTGAACAGGATCAAGGGCAGTTCAGCGCTGGGTACCCCCTGGAGAGTCCCAAGTACTGCGAGATCTCCGGCGAGCAGCACTACGAGCTGCTCAGCCGGAGCTACTCGGGACACACGGAGCCCATCTACAACGAAGTGGCGGCGTCCGAGTACTCGGCCAAGCAACTCATGACGACCATCCCGGACCTGGTACCGTCCAAGTCCGGCTTCGAGTCTGACTCGGCGTCGGATGCCGACGATGAGGCGTCCAAGGACCTGGACGCCATCGGCACGAGCAGGAAGCGTCATTCCACGTCCAAGCGGTTCAGTTTGTCGGACACGTTCCGACCGGCGTCCTACTACCTCCCGAAATCCAGTGGCGGCGGCGTTAGCGTCGGCGCTAGTGGTAGTGGTGGCGGCATCAGCAGCAGCAACAACAATAGTGGCGGATCTGCTGGGAAGAAGACGGCAGCCGCAGCCGCCGCCGTGGATGTGGAATCGGAAGATAACCAGTCTTCCGACTCGGATCTTGTTCCTCCGCCACCGATCCCGCGTTCGCCGCCTCCATTGGACGATCATCATCATCATCACCACCAGCATCACCGCCTCCACAACCACCATTCCCATTTGCGAGGCAGCAAGCAAAGCTTGACGAATTCTTTGGGCGACGCCGCTGCGAACCATGATCCGCTTCGTCCACCAGAGCCGCCGGGAAGACTCCGAATCGCCCTGAATGCTGCTTGGAAAGACGTGGAGAAGCGCAAGAGTTTGGAGGCGCCGGAAGCACCATCAACGACGTCAGCGGTGGCGACAGAAGCGTACACGCCAAGGGAAAGCATGTTACGTTCACCATTGGATTCAGAGCTGAATTATTCTTATTATCGAGTGTATGACGAGCAGCAACGAAGCGATGCGTTGCTGCAACAGCAACACCAACAACAACAACCGCCGCCACCTCATTTGCAGCGTCCGCCGCCACCACCTGTGACAACAACAACGACAACAACAACGACGGCGAACGCAGCTCCGTCATCGACGATTCACAGCCGTCACGGCCGCACGAATTCCACAGCCTCCAGTGATTCCAATCGCAGTGGCGCCCCTTACTATTACTCCGACTTGCTCGAGACCGCCGCCGCGTCGTCTTCGGAACTCACGCCGGACTTGCAAGAGAAAATCCTGCGCAGTTTAACCGCCAAAGCCAGGAACCAGCTCAACAACAGCCGACTCTTTGATCAGGAAAACGGGAAACGAACGGATATCGGCAAGCGAGTGAATCCCATCGTGCCCGAGACCATGGACACGGACCATCCTCCAAAGTTATCCCGCGAAGAATTCCAGCGCACTGTGCAATTATTTGAGGCGTCCAAGGGCTACGACTCGAAGAATGTCTATGCATCCGGCGCCGGAATGCTCAAGTTTCCCGCGGGTCGTTCCGTGACGCCAGATCCGTCGGTGTTGTGGGAAGCTAGTAGTAGTAGTGGTGGTGGTGGTGGTAGGCGAGCTAGAAGTCTCGAAGGACTCCTCAACACCGCCGAGGACGCCACCACCACCGCTGCTGCTGCTGCTGCAGCAGACAGCGGGAATTTCGCCGCGACGTCGTTTCAGACGCCGATCCCAACAACAGCTGTTGCTCATTCCCAGCAGGAAGCCATGATGGATATCTGGGAAGAAGATAGTTTATGGAAGGAGAATCTGAGGAGAGAGAGTCTTCGACATGCTCAGAGTGTCGAAGCTCTTGATGCTGGGGCGGCAGGAGCAGCGGGTAATAATAATATGATGATGATGACGGACGCCCCCGTGGCGGCTAGGCCGTCAGCCAACGCCCGTGTGACGCGGGATGTGATCTACGTGAATGATTTGGCGGCTGGTGACGTGCGGGAGCGGGTCAGCCAGCGTCACGCACCACCTGTGCCACTGAAGCCGAGAAGTAGTCAGACGACCACCACTAGACAACAACAACAGCAGCTTCAGCAGCAACAACAACAGCAGCATCATTTTTTAGGAGAAAGCCTCCCTCCTACTTTTGAACAGCCGGTTCGTGCGTTTGCTGGCCCGGGTGTTCCGGTGCCGGATGTTGTGGCGCCGCAGGGCGTCGCGACGACGACGACGACGGCGGTGACAACGAGAACGTCACTTGTTCCGGCCCGAGTAGGTGGGAGGCTGTCTGGAGTGCCCTCCTCGAATCCTGATAGCCATCGGCAGATGAACCGCAAGTATCTGCATCATCCTCAGCAACAACAACAACAACATCATCATCATCATGGTGAGGAGATGATTTTTTTTTTTTGTTTTGCTGAGTGTATGCGTGGTGCTGGAAGCGAGAGAGAGAGCACGTGATTTCGTGTTTGGATTTTTTTGATTTGGAATTTGACGTGTGCGTGTGTTTAAAACTTGGGTATCACGATTCTTTTTTTAATTTTTTTTTATGAATGTTTTTCATCTGCGCGTTTGATTTTCGCGAGCGGATTACTTTGCTTGAGCCAACCAACCATGCAGTACTGTACTGTACTTTGTTGAAGTAGGACCCCGAGATGCGGACGTAATTGGTACTTGGACCTTGTCTCTTATATTTATTGGAGGATCACGTTTTTCCGTAGACTTCAATGTGAACATATTTAACTGATTCTGTTGTTCCGGAAAAGTTAGAAACACGGTCCCGAAAAGATTGAATAATTTTGTTTTTCTCAACTTCAAGATGCAGAAAGGGCTTGTGCAGAAGAAACCCACACAGAATCGGATCTTTTGGGATTGGAAGGAGTTCAACAAGAAAAGACCAACTCTTGCTATACCGTGTGCACATGATGTGGGGGGGGAAAAAACTCTGAAAAGGAAGCCCGAAATTGGCCTGTTTTTTGATCATGAATCGGGATAACTTTGAAAGAAGTATATTTTTAATATAGCTGAATGTAAACAGCTCGATTTCTCCAAGAAATATGCAAATTTAGACAAATGAAATTGTTCAAGCTTTTAGAAATGTTGGGATGGTGTCCGTATCTTAAGTCATTATTAGGATGCCTGTGGCTTTATTTTTATAATTTTTCTCAAGTGTCCCTAAGTCGAATCGTCCGTATTTTGGGGTCCCACTCTTATTTCGAATACTCAAACACGGTGTTCGTTTGTCGTGAGTGCGTCAGAAATTTTGTGGAATCTGAATGTAAGGGTTTATCCTGAAGCCTATTGATAATGACTGAGTCGTTTTCCAGTCTGTGTGTTGGAAGAGACTTGAGGCATGCGTTTCGTGCTTTCGTGTCTGGATTTTTCTTGGATTTTGGCGTGTTTTTCTTTAAATTTGACACGGGTCCTTTTCGTTTTTTTATGAATTTTGCATCTGCGCGTTTGACGTTTGCGAGCGGATTACTTTGGTCGAGCCAAAGAATGGATGCAGTACCTTGTTATTTTGAATATTATTTTGGTACGAAATGGGGTGATGTTTGTATTGACTATGCGGTAGAGTGAAATTTTGAAAACAGGAAAATCTCGTTACAACGAATTTCTCAGTACTGTATAATAAACTTTTTCTTGAGTCTGGACAGAAAGCCCGTTGAGTACACGTTAAAACAATTGTCGTTATAACGAACTGCCCAATTCCAGTATAGCAAACTCTTTTTTTTCGAATGTTTATTGGATCCTCAAATAGAAATTTTCCCGAGGCAGGCACAGTCTGAATTTCCAATCCCAAAAATGAATGACTGACTCTTTTAGCATAAAAGAAAGCTGTAATCAATGACAAAAAATGCGTCTCTTCTTTTTTATTCAGAAGGAAGAGATTTTCACATCATCCTCCCATAATGAAGAGATCGGTGCAACTGGTTGGAATCCGTGATTGAAGCTTCTTTTTTTTCTTTTCTTCAGAAGATCACTCGGTTTATCAAACAATATTGAAAAGATCTGAGAATGATAGAAAAGCAATGATTATATATTGATAATATTGATTATAAGCAGGTCTGATGGGAACATATTTTTTTCACAGCCACTAATTTCAAAAGGCTTGTCGCAATAAATTATTCAGTCTGACCAACATTTTTCTGATGTCCCTCCGAAAATTTGTCGTGAAGAGATTTTACTTCATCTGCATTTATTGTGATTAATCCTTGATAATGACTCGGAAATGTTCCTTGTGTGTCTTTTTCCCTTTCGCAACCTGCGCATATAGTGTCTGCCTTTCGTGACTCGATGGTTGATGTAGCAGACAAATCCGTGGGACAGCAGGCCCCTCGTCGGNAATAATGACTCGGAAATGTTCCTTGTGTGTCTTTTTCCCTTTCGCAACCTGCGCATATAGTGTCTGCCTTTCGTGACTCGATGGTTGATGTAGCAGACAAATCCGTGGGACAGCAGGCCCCTCGTCGGGACAGTGCCGCTGTGAACCTGGCCCAAGGAATGAAGCACACACCCCGTCTGCACCTACGTGTCGCTCCCGAGTACTTACCCGGGGCATCTCTGCCACCACCACCACCACAAGTCAACATACTCCTAGAAGGCTAAGCCGTTCCCCTAGGAGCTAAAGTGCACTCACTAGAACTGCTATTTTTGTTGTTGTGTGTATAAAAATTTAGCTTTGATTGGAGGAATATTGCAGAACAGGAAGGGTGAAAATTATGGAATGAAGGAAGCGGAGTTGAAAATGCTCGACACTTCACTGAGTTGATTGATTTTTATTTTCTTGTCTCACATGAGGGATTTTTAAAAAAAAAGTTCTCGGAGTTGACTTCCAAGCGGTCGTCGGAGGCGAAATTTTTAAATGTGAATTTTTTTTATTGATTCGTCATTTTTTTTTGTCAAAAACCAATTTAGTTTTTCTATCGCGAAAAATTAAAATCGCAGAATGGATGTCGCCTGATTTTTTTCGACAGTCCTTCATTCACTGAGGGATCTTCGAGTCGCGTGTTCAATGAGAATTGTCTTCGGATATGCGACAGTCAAACCTCGAAAGCCGCCACAATTTGTTTGTGGCGGTTTGATGGGGTTAATGGTGGTTTAGCAATAAAGGTAAAATTATATGAAATCAAATTTATTAGATGATAAAATTCTTATTCCTTTAAAAAAGTATCAAAATAATCCTGGCATGCGTAAATTATATCTAGCTAATGTTTCCAAAAAAAAACTATGAAGTGAACTATCTCTTGTATGAGTTTTTTTAATGGAGACCTCTCACAAAAAATTGGATTTTGTTGGCGGGCTGTTGGAAGGCAAAATTGGCAGGAGGATCACATCAAGAGTTGTCAATAAATTTCTCGGATGGCGTTTGTAACGTTGGTTATTATTGCTATCATCATCAGTAAAGTTGTTCTGTTTTTAATAAATTGGCGGTTGACTGTATGAGGTTTGGGGTTATTTAAAAAAAAATTCTGCTCCTTTTTCTGTTCTTGGAAATTTTCACGTACCGATTTTCCATTGGTATATTTAGTTTGAATCCGATGTAACGAGAAGTGTCCCTCTCTTAAGCTTTATTATCAAATTGAGAGAAAATTTGTGTGTGTGTGTTTGTGAACCGCTGTCTTTTGTGTATAATTTGTATTAGCTTGAACAATTTCTTAAATTTTCAGTTCGAGCCGCAGAAGCAAATGTTGCACATGGCAACGAATCCAGGGAAGCATGGTTCAGTGTATCAAGATGTCAACAATGGAAATTTCTCTGCTACTCAAGCAGCTCGGGAACGCGTCGACTTCCAACAACGACTTCGAGAACCTCGTGCAACAGTCAACCAGTGCATGGAGTGGAATGACCGTTCTCCGGATCACAAGGAACTTGAGGTGACTTCTTCTTTTATGTGTGATTGCTCGTTGAGTTTGCTGCGGCCATTTAAAAATTTTTTTTAGCTTGTTGCGAAACGAACGATGCATGAATGGATGTCAATTTAGCTTTTTTTTTCTTTTTAGGAGCGATTCAGTGCTGTGTGTGTAATGAGCATGTTGACTCTGTGGGTTTAAAAAATAAAATTTAGAATAGAAATTGAAACGGCATACAATTGAGCTGAAAAACCAGTGTTGTTCACAGAAGAAAAAAAACATTCTTGCAAGAAGAAAAATGCAGCCCTGTTTGACATATTTTGTGGAAAATACTGAATTTACAGAAGTCCCCTGGGCCAAGTTTGAGGCACCCATCTTTTATTTTTTATTTTTGGTGTACTCCAGTTTCTGATTCAAAATTCTTGAAATCGACAAGGATTCCAAAGGTTAATTTTAGGTCTTCGGAGTTAATTATGCCCTTCCCTGTACAGCTGCCTTTGCTGCCACCACTTGGAATGAGAATGTGGTAGATGTTCATAAAACAACCTCAGTGAAGAATTGAAAGCTGCCAGTGTGACTTTTGCAAACATTTTCTTCAAAATAGGCAATTTTCTTTATCATGTGCCCAAGAATTTTTTTGAACCATAATTTTTTTCCTGCTCCATCTTGTACCGTTTCAATTTCTAATCTCAGAATTTTTCCTAGACCCTTGTATTCTTTAGTGAGGAATATTTTTGGAGACAAAGTGGTTATGCAATGGAAGAGCTAAAATTCTTTGTCTGGAATATCATTCTTAGCATTGTTATCAGAAATTATCAATAACTTTCTAGTGAAACCATTCCAAACCTAATTTCAAGCCCTTGCAGGCTCTGCTGAAAGGAGGAGGCATGAGGAGAGAATAGACAGAAGCAAGGAATGAATAATTATTATGAATAAGCCAGCTCCTAACTATTTCAAATTATTTTGATAATAATACAAAATTGGTTCCGAGCAATATTTCGGTTTGATCATATTTGTTGTGACGCACGAGTTGACCTGGAGTTCTCAATTTTCATTGATGCAGAGAAAAATCTTTTGAATTTGTATTTTCTTTGGAGGTGAATTACCTTTCTGTGCTATATTTTCTCCTCAAAATTCTCCGTGAAATTTTCTCCTCAAAATTCTCCGTGAAATTTTCTCTTGAATTATCTCCGTGAAATTTTCTCTTGAATTATCTCCGTGAAATTTTCTCTTGAATTATCTCCGTGAAATTTCCTCCAGACCCCATCATAACGTGCATTTGTCTGGCATCGAAATAATCTTGTTTCTTGCTGATTTGCTCGATTTTCGGTTTGCAGGGCATTCGGATTCAGTTGTATCGTTTGGACGCCATTTTGCATGCTGAGGCCATGAGTCTGTTTGCTATGCGTGATGATAAGGTATTTCTTTCAGTTCCCTTTTTATTTTATTCTGTATGATTGAGGATTCTTGGCATTTTGTTTGATTTTTGCACCTTCCTTGACCTTTTGCTGACTCTCACATCTGCGAATTACATCAAAGTAGTGCTGTTGAAATTTGTTTTTGCTATATTTTTGCCTGTACCCTCTTTTTAATGACCTGTTTCTCTCAAAATTGAGTCGAAAAAAAGGGGTGCTCGTCATAGGCAGGTATAAATTATTCGAGAAGTTGTACTAGTTTCAATGTGTGTTTTACTTGATTCTAAAGAGAACTTGTGCACTACATACTTTTATCAGAAAATTTATTTTTATGGAAACAATTGAAAATGAATTCAGTTTTGCTTCAATTCATGTGCAAATTCAAATTTGGGTGTTGTTATTTTATTTTACCGATGCAGTTTAGAGTCACTGAACATGGGATGCGCATCTAAGTCTGGTATACAATTTAATCACAATTTTAGACTGAAAAATTATGGGTGCGGCGTCTTATTCGAGGGCAAGTGGTACGGTACTCTAGTAAATAATGTACTCCGTTTTATCTTACATGGCTTTCACGTAAAATTTTGATGCTCAAAGAATTAGCATTTCTCAATTTTAAAATTATTTTCATCAATCAGTTTGCTTTCTTCATTTTCAAATGTGCGTAAAATTCTGAATTGGGCTTTAGAAAAATGCTTCAAGGTTGGGATAGTTGCTTTCTTTTTAAGACTTCAACTTGTATCCATCATCGAGATTTTATGGTTTCCATTAGTATTTAAAATACTGTTATCCCAAACTGTTGAATTTAACCCTGGGATGGCGGAGGGTTCCTTTCCATTGTGACGCAAAGTGGGGATATTTTTGGGGGGTGGAGCATTTCAGTTTGACCCAAGGTTGCTGAAATGCTCCCAGGTTGAGAAGGCCTAAGTCGGGAAAAATCCGGGAGACAAAATCTCTTTTGTTTTCAGGAATCTTCCATGTTAATCCTATACCAAGAATGCAGGAAAAAACGCCACTCAGTGAGGGATTTTTTTAAATTTCCATCCCAAATTTTCTGCTGGATTAGAAAAAAATGTCGGACTTTTTCCCGACTCAGGCCTTCGTACAAAAGTTGCATTTTTTAAATTCCGAGTTCTCAGTGACACGAAATTTTGCAAATACTGTATATCCCAACTTTGCCGCACAAGGGTTAATAAGAATCTCAAAGTTATGCGTCAAACGTCTTCTACGCTTAGTAACTTTATTACTCTAATCCAATGATTACTGTTGGAACAACTTTTGTCAAGAAGTATTAGTCTTTATGGCTGGGGTAAAGCAAAGCAAGTCTACTTCTCTGAATAACTGATATGTATGTATTTCAAATGCACGCAAGAACAGTCCAGACCAGCAATGAGCACAGAAGTAGTGTTTGGACACTCCTTTATAGATTCAGGATGCACAAGACAGGTGACTGGCCGCGCATGAACATAAATGATTATGAAGTAAACTGGGATGTGTGAATGACTGGTTGCCAGACACTGTTGCAAGGTTCTGGTACACTGATTCCAGTGTGTTGCAATGTGGACTAAAGAATATGATAGTCAGTTCAAGAAGGGGGTATTGTTAACCTGTTTGAGGACTCACTAAAGTTATGATGACAATACTGTGTCTCTGTAATTTTTGAATCAAGAGAAACGCAATTGTGAAGGCATCTTGGACCTCCAAAGTAGACATTGGAAAGCATTTTATTTTATTTTTGAATAACGTTTTTTTTTCAAGACCCATTGATAAACTCATGTTTGGACACACTTGTACAGAATCTTCTGGAAGGCGCCCTGCATAGTGTCCAGCAAAAGCTGAATGGCGGCGACCCGCAGAACCCGAACCTCACTGCTGCTGAGATTGACAAGCTCAAACGCCAAGAAGTCTTGCTCGAGCAAGAACTCTCTTTCATCAAGAGCCATCTGGACAATAGTGCTGCTGTGAGTGCAAAGTTTTCATTTGTTTCTTGTTCCGCGCATTCCGTGCATGACTTGTTATTTTTTTTTGTGAAAAAGAAGAAGCGTGCGAGCTATGGAACAATACTTTCTGCAGGAATTCGTAATCCAAAATTGATTAGTGCTCCGTCTTCGTTTTCGAAGATGTGATAAAATTTGCAATTGTGCCCTGGGAAAAATGTTTCCTTGTCAGCAGAATTGTATGTTTCGTCGAGGACTTGAAATCGTTCGATACGTCTTGAACCAACGTCGATGATGACATTTGCATTGTCTTAATTTATCCAAGTGCATTAGAAACTTGAGGTATTGGTTCGGGATGGTTGAATAACGTCGTCATTCCAATACCGGATTATTATTGTCAAGCTTCTTTTGGAAAAAAACTGGTAAAAAAAAATCTTCCAGCACTTGCAACCTTGTACAGCAAAAAATTTCCAGAATCTTGGGTAACACATGAAGGCGAGGTTATTCCTGACGACGATATTCCGCGACAAGTTTAATTCGCGACGAGATTCTTACAGGCTGATGAGGTTGGGCCCGACGACGTTATTCCAGCCAACCGTGGAATTTGGGAGCAGCAATGATCCGTGGTTTAGCTTAAATCCTACTTTAAAGCATCCCAACTTTTTTCATTTATGATTGTGCAGTGTGAGAATCGAATCGAAAATTTGCCATTCGACTCGTCAGAAGTGCAGAATACCATATTTTATCGAGTTCCACTCGCAGCTTTTTCTGAAGAAAAAAAAAACGAGGGCGGAAAAAATGTGGTGCGCGTAATTATAGTCGGGTATAATTTTTGTAGTAACTTTTTTTGAACTTGAAAACTTTTTTCAAGCTTTAGAAATATTTCATAAGTTGTTTTTTGTGATTCTTCGTGTTTGGTAGGGAAAAACATCAAAATTGAAGTCAAATTTACCGTGAAGATGTACTGTATTGTATTTCGATTTTTCCCCGTATAATTTTTAAAATACCGTATAGAATTTGGGGTTGGAAAACTAAGGTGCGTGTCTTACTCGAGTAAATGCGATATACAGTGAGACCCCGAGATGCGGACGTAATTGGTGCATCAAGAGTGTCCCCAAGTTGAAATGTCCCAAGTCAAGTCTGGTTTTCCCATAGACTTACATTATATACTTTTTAATCGGTGTTTTGTGGAAGAAATATTCTTCAGAATTACCTGAAAAAATTAGTTTGCCACTTGAATTTGAATTAGTGAATACATTTTCAACTCAATAAGAACATTTGGAGCATTGAATAGTGAATCTCTGTACTGTACACTGAAATTTTGGCATCTACAAAAATAACATTCAAGTGAAAAAAAGTAGAAGTCCCTCTATGCTGGAGGTAATTTTTTTTAAATTAGCTAAATGGATGGTAATTTGGTGAGAGAAATGCCCAAGAACTTTTCTTACAACAATTTTAGGGTTGTAAATACAGTATCTGCTTCTTGTAATTTGGCCTGAAATGTATTTGCAATTTTATCACAAAATGTCCCTATGTCGAGTCAGTGTCCTCATGTTGGGCCTTATTTATTGATTTTTTCTGGGAAAAGAGGTGTCACTACGTCGAATTGTCCGCAGGTCGAGGCGTCCGCATGTGGGGGGTCTCACTGTACACTGAAAATTATCCCCCAAGTCGAAATATTTTGGTGTATACATTGTATCACGTTGTTTTCTTTGAAAGAAATGATGAATTGACTTTTTTTGTGCATGATTTTCAGAGGCTGGACTATGTGGACGGTCAGAGCATGCGACTGGAACATGAACTCGTCGTTCTGCGACAAAAGGTGCTTGTGGCTCTGAGGCATGCTACCAGTCTTCAAACACACAACCTGGCTAACCAAGAGCTTGAGGCTGAGCTCGTGAAAGTACAGGTACAGTATTTTCAATTAACGTCTCAATGTCGACGATTTTTTTTTTCGTAATTTACATTACTGTGAATTTGTTTGTTTTTTTTCAGCAACTGACGAAAGATCTGCAGAGACGCAGAATGGACCTTAGTCACCAGGTGAAAACCATCACTGAAAGGACTTTCTCGAGCAGCCACTTGAACCACCTATCAAGGGAACAGCTTCAGCAAAATCATACGGGGATTTCAGGTAATTCAACTTTTTCTCTTCAATTTCTGTGTGTTACAAAGTTTTCTTTGTAAGCAATCTCTGGCATCCATATATTATTTTATTTTGTTTGTATAAGCTCAGCATAACAATTGTCAAGCATTGTCAATTAGCTAAGATGTAATGTTATTTGTGGAAAAAGCAAGCGTTTGAAATTGACCTCGTCATCGTTTATTCCAACAGACTCTGGGCGAGAGTATTATCCGCCATTCAGTCACGTTCGTCGTGCCTCGTCCGGTAGCTTTCCCGAAAACATCACCGAGAAACCCAGCGCATTTGATCCGTGGATGAGAGTGAGTGCTTCATTTGATTTCTGTGATGTTGAAATTTAATTTAAAAATTGCTGCAACTGAACGCTAGCGAGTAAGTGCATGAAAATATTGAGGCTGTTGTTATTCTTGAGACTAGTCATTTTTCTCATGATTTGGCTTGCGTTGAATAATTTTGGAGCCGTGTGTCGTCTTCTGATGCCCTTCGAAGACTTGGTCACATTTTCTTGAAAAATGGAAATTTATGAATCTCGGGGTAAATTTTGTGAAGTCTATTAAAACTCGGATTATCCAACTGTTCTTGACCTATCACCCTTGCCCGAATTACTCAGTACATATCAGTGATTATGGAATATTCCGTAGATGCGAGGGAAAAAAATATGAATGACGTAAGATAAAATTGCTATTCGAAGTCGGGATAATCGAAGGAGAATTTATCGGGTTATGTACGATTTTAATGGAAGAAGTAGACAAACCATTTTCGTGTACTTTTAATCGCCGAAAAAAATCACGTCTTCTTTCATGGTATTTTCAATTACTTTTTTTTTAAGCATCAGCAACAACATCAAAATATGCCCGGAGTTTGGAGATACTCGGTGAGGAACAGACCGCACAGTTCGAGCCACGAATCCCTCATGAGCTACCATCAACGGCAGATGGCCCAGTGTGAGAAGACTACTGTGGCCTGGGCTAGGCCAGCTTCAGCGATGGCCGCCCCGGTTGCGCGACAGGCTTTCAGTCCGTTTCCTCCGCCGCCGTATCAACACGTGCCGCCGCCACCGCCGCCTTCTGTCGTTTCGCACCAGCGCGGAAATGAAAACTATCATTCCGACAACGACCTTCACCTCAAGCAATTTCAGGGTGAATTCTTGTTGAATTTTTTTTTTTGCTGACAGTAAATTGAGTAAAAACTTTGAACTCGCTAGCTCTCATCCAAGATTAATGACTAACGCTTTATGTTCCGGATTTCTTCCCTTGAAAGCTTCGTCCAATTTTTGTTTTCCATCTTCAACTATTTTAAACTGTCGTTCAAATCAGAATTTTCAAAAATGTGTTCTCTATAAGCATTTTAATCTTTGCTGATGATGATTTTCAAAGGGATTCCAGCCAAGGAGCGGTCGTTGGAAATCAAGACAGTGCGGTCGGTGAAACGCGAGAGCCAACAACGTCAAAAGGACCGCACTCGACGACAGACCCCGGAACCCGTGATCGTGTCTTCGCCCGGCGGCGAGATCTCGTCTGTGTGCAACAGCATCTCGTCGACCAACTGGGCCGACTCTTCGTTGGACCTCAAGCAGCGAGAAGAACTGACCAAGGACGAGCAAGAACTGTTGTCGGAGCTCGAGAACCCGCAGATCGTCTTGGAAACTGACCCCGTCCTGTCGCAATTTCACCGCTCCATGTCCTTGCCGAGGAACAACAATCATCTAGAAAATAATGGCCAAAAGTCCACAGAAAATTCTACTTATGGAGGTTTGAGGGGAGAAGCCTTTGACCGAGGGAGGATTTTAATGTATTGTTTCTGAAAGATTTCAAATGGGTACCTAAAAAAAATTTGACTTGGAAAGGTTCGAGTTATCGAGGTTCACCTGTATAAAATATAAAGAAATAAAACGATAATTTAATTAGGTCTGTGAAATTTTCACGAAACGCTTTCAGATTTGTGGAGGTTCACTTGCGTAAATAACTGCAAGCTGTCGAGTTTTTCGTCGTTCTGGACGTTCTTAAAAACATTTTTCTGTCTTTCAAATCTTTGACATCTCAAGTACAGTATTCCGAACCCTAAGGGCTTCGCAACGAAAAACCCGCATAATGAAAATTCTCAAGCGTAAAATCGTGACTAGCGAAACGAAAATGCTTTGCATAACGATTTTTTTTTTTTTTACCCAAAAAACGCTCGAATACAGTCTTGAAAAATTGTGGGCTAAAACTTCAGAATGAAATGAAAATCGAGGAAAATTACTTGAGAAAAGCACAGTTTTGCCTCTTGTAGTCGATAACTTGTGTGTGACATTTTCAGAAAGCTCGGAGTACGAACTTGCCGGGATTTTTTAAATTTAATACTATTCACGCCGAAATTCAGAATTTCATGCAGAAACTAGGAAAAATGCAATTTACGTTTATTTTTATATTTTTCGGATCATGACAATAAATTTTGGATCATAGTGATGTTCATTATGAACTTGACAGGATTACTAACATTTAATACTACTCTGCTTGAAATTCAGAGTTTTATGCAGAAAACTGGGAAAATTGCAGTTCTATGTTTATTATCATCTTTATGATCATGAAAACAACTTTTTGGATCGTAATAATAACGTTTATTACAAACTTACCAGGATTAGTCAAATTGAATGCTACTCATCTGCATAAAATTCTTAATTCTAAGCTAAGTGGGAAAAATGCACTTTTTTCGTTTATCATGATCTTACGGGTAAATAACGTATCATAGTGAACTTTTTGGATCATGACACAGTAAAAACCCCATTCTTTCTCACGTACGCGTTCAGTGATGATGCTTTCCTGACGAAATATCTCGACTGCATGACTTTATAATGACGAGGAGAGTGTTTTTGTGTACGTTGGAAATTTGAACATGTAGTATAGCGCTTGAATTTTGCAAATAACCGCAGGCTTTCGAAGAGCAGTTGTCGCAACGTCGTCAGGAGATGGCGCGGCATTTGCGCCAATACCCGAGACTGCGACGGAAGCACCACACCGTGTCGAGTAGTCAGCCCATCACCCTGGAAAACACCCCGCACTTTTCCAAAAAGAAGAACCCGGTAAAAAAGAGATATGATAATCCGAACCATGCTTGCATGCTTTTTTTTCTGTTTTGTTTTTTTTGCATGAAACTTGTTCTTGCGCGAAACTTTTCATCATCATCCCCTGTATGGTCTTGCTTTCGGTGCTGCTTTTTGACGTGTTATTGACTGCTGACTATAAAACTCAAAACGAATGTCTTTCTGGAGATGTATTTACTGTGTGAATCGTAATTGGTGTTGTGTTTTGTATGGCGTGAGTTCAGGATCTAAAACAGTTTTTTTCCTCATTTTTAACAATTTTTCTCGTAGTCATGTCTGTGAAATTATTCTTTTTTACTAGTTTTAGACTATTTTAGAAATTATCCGCGAGTCGGAACCCGAATTTTTCATCAAGTGAGCTGCGAATTTTCCGAAAAGATTCGCTTGAGAGTTTGTGATTTTCTCATCACTTTAGGATGATGTTCGTCTTCAGTACATTTTGACTCAATTGAAACAACAACAAAATGCGAAGTTTCTTCGTTTTCGTCTACCATTAGAAAAAACTGATTCAACCAAAATAATTATAGAGTCTTGATTTATTTAAGAAAGTATCGAGTCGGAAGTTCGAATTCATCGAGGGAGTTGCGAAATTTCCCAAGGATTCGATTGAAAGTTTCGTGACTTTCTGATTAGCCTAGGATGATGTTTGGCTTCAATCATGTGCTCTAATTTTAAAATTCTGCTTTGAGTTTGTGAAAAATAATTCTTGTTGGTTGCATATTTTTTAATCTGGAATTGAGGATTATCTCTCGATTAAGCTGCATTACAACGTGAATTTTTAGTCTCTTTACGCTTTCCCCATTGTAATGGTCAATTGTTTTTATTTTGCTTTTGGCAGAATGAGTTAATAAATTTTGGGGGTTTTTTTTCGCAAACTGGAAACCCTCAAAAAATGTATGGATAAACTTGATCCTGGTTCAAAGGAGAAATTTACGTCGATTGAATACGTATAGTTGCGTGATGAAAAAAATAATTTGCATCCTAACATTCACTCTTTTCGAGTTGGCTTGCAGTCGTTTTCTTGTTCACGCGTGATTTCTTGAAATGACTCGTCTATATCCTCGGTTTTGTGAGCAAATTCAAATTGAAATAAAGACAGGAAGCTGAACCCAGAAACCATGAAAAGACACGTTGCGCACCTTTCTCAACTACCGCTTGAAAAATTGTCTTATATAAATCCGAAATTTGACAGAGTGGTTTCGAGTTAGCATTTAGTATTTTTTTATTCGTTTGTTCTTCGCTCATATTACCGTGAACCCACAAAAAAACCTTGAAGATTCGAATAAAATTCAAATTAATCCGACTTTCTACTCCAATTCGTGCTTCTTGTCCTTTCGTAGTTTTACAAATCGAAAATCATGGGTCAATTCTGGACAATGCTCGTATAATATCTAGCTAGAGTAGAAATGGATGCTGGTGATGGTTATGGATTTACGTAATTTTTTTTCATTTCGCGATTAAATTTCTCACTTTGATTTAATCAATCATCCTTGAAGCGAAGAAAGCGATCGATTCATGACTGAACAAGAATGTTTCTGCCCTCGAATCGCTGAGATTTCATTTTTCAAGAAATGTTATTATTCCGAACAGGCTGCTGGAGGAAAGTGGGCAGATGACCTAGACATGGAACGTGCTTTGAGAAGCCCCCACAACCGCCTCAGCACGCCAGATGTCGTTCGTTCCACCATCACCAAGAAGAAGGAGCTCAGGTACAATGAAGAGACTATTGACACGATCCTGAGCAAGCCGAGGAAAATCAACATTCCCGAGAGATACGTACCTGAGGTGAATTCCCACTTTTGATGATCATGTATCTTTGTCGGGTTCTTCACTTCTGAGGAATGCCTTTGTGGGGAAAAATATTATATGTGGTAAATACTGTAATTGGGAATTTTCTTGGTGACAATTCTCTGAGAAACTGTGCAATCATTATGTTGACTTAAACCAAACCTTTTTTTCATTTGCTGAAGACCTTTTCCAGCTGTAATAGTCGACTTGATCATATTTTCGGACGCCAATTGACGTTTCATTGCTGATAACATAGTATGAATCATTAGCTTGAAATTTTCGATGATCAGAAAATTAATTTTTTTCTTGGAGGTCTGGTGTTGTCAAATGTGAGTGAAATGCTTTTATCATTATTAATACTCCTTTTAATGACGTGGAACTTGGAATTTTATGCGATTAAATTTTAATACAGTACCGGATATCGGTTTAACTGGGTTAAATCTTATCACCTCGCAGTGATGGAATTAACTTTGATGTCACTCCTCTTGAATCTGGATGATTAAAATTTTGAAATGTCTGAAAATGCTTGAATATTCCTCTGGGAAAATGTCTTTCATGTCTATCCTAAATTACTTTTCAACCTCAATGACTTGAACTTCTATATGTCGAATTTTATAAAGTCCCTGTCTGAATACCCTTGGAAAAATAAATTGGAAACCGCCCTTCTCTGGAAGCCTTTTGGCAATGATTTTATTGACACTTAAGGAAAGAAAAGGACCAATAAAAGTGCAAATTTATGTGCTTTGAAAGGAAGTGAAAGACTAATCGGGCAAATGAACCCTAGCCTTGTAAGTTCAGCATCCTGTCAACTCGGTTAAGAAGCAATTCAAGGCCCAAAATGTCACCATTTATAGTTTCCTTCATTTCTTCATTCTTTCCCAACAAAGATGCTTGTGTCCGTTACTCAATTGATTTGTTGGTCCCTTGTTCAATTTCAAAAGGTTTGACTTTATTTATTAATCTTCATATGTACAGTATGTTGCTATCAGGCCTTAATTGAATAATGGATAAAATATATAAAGTTCTTTAGACATATCTTGAGTCTTTACTCTTGAATACTCATGATTGTAAATTAGTCTTAATTTAGATCTGACAACTTCAGTAGCAAGGAGATTTCTATTCCTTATTGCCAGGTTCATTCAAGTGAAGACTCCTCAAGAATTCTTATAAAGGATAGCTGTGTTTATTATTATATTCAACAAGTCTGGGCAACAACAAATAGCGGAGACACAGTGAGAGCAAGAATAGAGAGAGGCAGATGCCTTTACAGGATTTGTGGTCCAAGATTGGGCAAGACTGGTCAGACCTGGATTTGACCTCATTCTAGGTTGGGTTGTGTAACCCTTTGGTGCATGACTTGGCACAGTGGCATACTGTTGGGAACATAAAAGTAGAAACACACAATTGCCTTGTGCATTGTCTGCTAGCATGAAGGGAACAACAGAAAGTATTTGATGACAAATTATATTTATTTTCATTTTTTATATCCATCTTCTTATTTTAATGTGTCTTGATCATGATCTTTTAGAACCAAGACGTGATTCCAAATCAAACTAAAGAATTCGTCCATCGATTATACTGTATGTACATTTTCAGGAGATGGAGTTGTCGGCCATCGAAAAGGCAGCGAGGGAACGAAAGGCGGAGGCCATCAAGAAAATGTTGCTCTCAGAGACTCAAATAGCCGCAGAAATCTGCAGCGCGTCCAATGCCGGCGACGGGTCGTCCACCAAGACGCCGGGAATGGCGTCCCGAACAAGTACAACGACGGAGGAAAACGGCCACGACGGCACACTCATGAAGGCCAAGGTTGAGGCGGAGAAACGCCGTCGCGAGCACATGCTGGCTTTGAACCAAGCCCTGGCCAAGGAAGTGATTGAGAGAACGAAAATCGTTGCCGGTATTTTTGAAACCCATATTTTTTTTTCTTCTCCCCTTTACCTATTTTTTTCTCGATGCAGAGGTTCTCAATCGGCCACTCCCAAGAAAATGTGAAAGAAATGCCTTGAACTAAATTAGAAAAATCCTAAACGAAAAATAAATCTATGCTGACGTTTGAGCATGAAAAGAGGCGTCAAGTATCAAGTTAAAAAAAGAACCAGGTTGGGGTACATACCCTCTAGAAAATGATCTGCATTCCCGAAAACAAAAAACGGGACTCCGCCAGTCGGGAAGGTTGAGAATCTTTGCCCTTATTGCATGATTGTTGAAAATTGGCCTGTGCTTGCCTTCTTCTTTCTTTCAATTTCTGGATGTCTTATACTTTATTCCTGTTCCTTTTTGTTGTTATACCATCCCGATGGAATCTTGTGGAATGTTTAGCTCGCCGCATGAGTTGTCCGAGTCCCCAAGGAAGCAGCTCTGATGATGATCAGGAAGAAGGTTCTTGTTGACCACCTCCGGTTAGATGAGTTTGTTTTTCCCTGTTTTTGTTTTTTATTGCTCTGTGCCTACCCCTTTTTTGCGCATTTCTTTTAAATGTTCTGTTTGACGGTGAATACCTGCTGTGCAGTTTATTTTTACTTTTTTTATTATTGAGGAAGGAGCTTTTAAATATGTTGCAGAGGGACCTTTATTATCCGTGCATTCTCCAGAGTGATCTAAAATGAAGGATGATTGAATTTATCAAATCATTCATGAATGAATTTATGAAATCATGTGTATCGTTATTAGCGATTTTCTGAAATCATGGATGATTGAATTTATAGAATATATAATCTGTCGTTACTAGCTACGCTCTAAAATCATGGATGAATAATTGATTTTATTTAATCATCTATCTTTTTTTTAGCGAGGTTCTAAAATCATCAAATAATGATTGAGTTAGTAAAAATCATATTTTATTATGAATTTCCGAAAATCGTGGAAGATTGAATTTATAAAAATCATCTCATTATAGCGATATTCCACAATCAAGGAATTCGACTGTTTAAAAGTCATCTGTCGTTAATAGCGATATTCTAAAATCATGGATGATTAAAGTTATTGAATTATCTTTTGTTATTGGCGAAATTCGCGTGAATTTTTACAAAAATGACGTTTTCTAGAATGTCCTGGGGGGGGGGGGGGGCTTTTCTATAAAAAGATTTGTGCATGCGACAGTCGATTTTCAAGCTTTTTATTTTTTTTTTAGCTCACATGTAACTAAAGCACTGATTAATGTGGTTATTTTTTGATTGTGTTTGTATACCATTTCACTTCAATGCCATATACAGTATTGTTTTCTGAAGAACAGTCTCGTCAGTTGGAGCGCTGATCTGATCGACATTTTTTTGATGATTCATGCGACATCTATGTATAGTCAAATAAAATCTCTCGGATCCCTTCTTCGGGCGTGCTAGTGGAAATACTGTAATTGTTGCAGTTCAGTCGTGGTGCATCTGTGACTTCTTTTTGAGCATCTTGTTTGATCACCCTTTGTATGATATTTGTATACACCCTTGGTCAATGTACACGTTTGAGGCGTATTGTAAATTTGTGATCATTTGATTTTCGACGTTGTACCTAATATTTTTTTTTCTTGTCCGCTTTGAAGACGCCGATGGTGGAGAAGACAAGGATGATGTGATGCGGAATGCAAGTGGGAAATCTTCGCCGCAACAACAGTTGCCATTTGTTCAGCTCCGTGAAATTTGCTGACGTGTGGCTGATATTCAAAATCGAGGGACAAAGGCGGCGTCAGCTGATCAAAATTCGATGACATGAAAGGATTGTGTTCACTGAGCAGCGAATGTAGAGAAGGAACATGTTTTTTTTTCTTGTATTGTCCGCCATTTTATGCCCTCCTGGCGATACTATTATGATTATTTTTTTTTAATTCCCGACGATTTTTTGTGTTTCGTTAGTTTGGCTGCTCATCCTTCCTGTAATGTTGTGGGATTCGGATCAGCGTTGATGAGAACGTTGCAAGCATATAAGGTATTTTATATATTTTTCCCCCATTTTTCTCAAATATTTGCATCACCACGAGACGAATATATCCACAAGAATTTTTCCCGTCCATCGGTGAAGAACCATTCTTTCAAGATTTATACCGAAACGACGGGAGAATTTTTTTTTTATGATCTTTCGACTAAAACCGCAATCTTTTTCTCTCGATTTTAGCCCAGTGAAGAAAGGTATACGGTATGTAGATTTTGTAGTAGTGAATGGACAAGGGAAAGTTTTTTTTTTTCTGATGACTATTATGATTGCGAATTTTTTGTTTGTTTGATTCTGGAATCCAATCGGAGAAATGCGACAAGGTTATCTGTGATTAATTTTGAACCGCGCTTCTGCCAAAGGGATATTCATTCCTCAGAAGATATTTTCTTCCTGCTTCGACAAAGAGAGAAATGTCCATTCCAAGACGCGGAGAGATATTGTGCCGCGATATGCGATTTACGTCTGGGTTGTTAGAGACTTGCTTGAGGACGGGTGCTATTTGTACTTTATTGGACTGATAGAGTTATTGTTAATCGTCCGTGGTCGTTTATCCGTACCTCTTGTTTTTTTTTTTTTTCGTTGACAAGGAGGTCATAAAGTGAGGTTTGGAGCCTTCTCGGTGCTTATTTTATTCTCTTGCATGTGAAATATGGAATGGGGGTTTTTGAGGTGATTCAAGCTATACAGTATATTGTAAAGACCTTGAAAAGTTCAGATCAAAAAGCGACCCATTTGTCAAGTTTCTAGGATTGCTACTCTCTCAAACAGTACATTTTTCCACCCCTGTGCTATATATATATGAACCAGGAAATCTCCAGACAGCTAAGTTTTGATCATTTTCACATATACATAAAACACATTTTTGCCGGGCATCAGTGAGCTTCCTAAACAAAAAAGATGAATTTCGATAAATTTTTGAAAATAAAAAAAATTCAAAATTGAGAAAAATATGTTCATGAGCCTGAGAGATGGATGGACAATCAACTTTTGACATCATGGAAGAATTTCTCTAAATACTCATGATTACATTAATGTGAAAGTGAATCAAGATAGTATATTTTACAAATATCACAAATGGAATGAGAATGTCATTCTATAATTTGATAAGCTTTTCAAAAATTAGTTTTTTGATTCCTGTATGGGTTATCCATTAAAATGTCACATGAATAAGGGATAAAAATGTGTTAGAATTCTTGAATGACTCTAGAATTAATTTTCAATGCTTATCTCAGTTTCAAAACATGATCAAGTTGATTAATTCATTGAAATTCAAGCTTTATTTGCCACTAGTCAGCATTTACAACTTATTTCCCAGAATTGTTACACATCTCTCCACACATGCATTGGATGCAATCCAGCTGCTATCAAAAATAATTCTCTTTAGCATACTGTATACAGGCATTAAAGAACAAACTTCACAGTATAAATACAAATGCATCAATCATGAATTTCCATAATTTTTTATTAGAATGACAAAAATCACAGCACATCAAAAGGTAATTATTGATGAGCAAAAATTAAAGCTCAATATAGAAGACATTCAGCCTGTTTTCAAATAATGTTTAATCGATCAAAAAATTTAGGAAAAATCTTCATTGAGGAACCATATATTAGGTAACACATCATCATCCTGCTACTCTAAGATTTAGGAGAGGATCATACCTCTTATTTCATAAGTTGTGAGAATCCTAGGCTTTTCATTGTTGAATTTACATGGTGTGGAACTTAGCTGGACATACGAAAAAGTAGGCATCCTAGCATATGCTGAAAGGTGGACTCTCTACAATGATCTTGTCTACAAGAATTTTAAGCATTTTATACTCTTCATAATAAGTAGCATACAAAATTTATTTTTAATCCGATATTACTGTATAAGGTTCACACCCCATTTTATAAGGGCTCTGCTGTGCATCAAGATTCTCTCTATATTATACAGTACAATTAATTCTTTTATGGTCTCTTTGTCTGGGATTTCCCCTGGTATTCACATGTTGTGTATCGTGTATATTTCGCTCGGTTTTCAGGTTTTCATATATTAGAAATGAAAAATAATCAGGGAATAAATGTTATTCATTTCCTCATCATGCAGTGAGGCGCTCAAATTCCAGGGAGCGAAAAATCCACGAAAAAATAATGTCCCTTTTTACGTTCGGATCGATGACAGAACGCGACGAGGAGATGCAAGAATAAAGTGCCAACTATTCAACCCAGGAGCAATCGCAAAAACAAGCCAAAAACGCGGTTGAATGCGTTCTCAGTAGCCAAACGAGTGCCGTTATTGGGGAACAAGATGCTCTTGATGTCTTGGACACTTGGCAAATTTATCGGCGCCCGAGTGGAATTCGAGTCATCACTGTCTCCATTTCGTCGTTGCCGTCATTATTGTCGTCGTTGCCATTATTGTTGTTGTTGTCGTCATTATTGTCGTCGTTGCCATTATTGTTGTTGTTGTCGTCATTATTGTCGTCGTTGCCATTATTGTTGTTGTTGTCGTCACTGGACTCGATATTGACAACCTCGTCAGCCACGACCAGATTCAAAACTGGGTCTTTCGGTGTCAATAATTCTTCTATTTCTTCTTCTGGGAGCACCGTCGTTTTTTCGTCTTCGGGAGACGAGGTGTTATTATTAATGGTTTCTTGCTCCATTTGGTAGACAACAATGGCGTCATCATCACTCGTCCTCACGATTTCCCGTGCCTTGTCGTTGATTTGACGTCCTCCTGTAAATTTTACATACAAAAATACACAATACATTTGAGTGCATGTTTATACTACAGCCTTTTAAAGTTACTTCAAACTATGTTACTATATAATTACTATATTTGCAAACCTCGTCTGGAACACTCGACCGCTGAGTTAACTTATTATGACTGATGAATGTTAACTTATGAAAGTTATGAGCTTATGACTGATGAATGAAAAATTCCACAAGGTTTTATGATTCACTGTGTGCAAATAAACAGGGGCTACAATAACATTGAAGTACTGTTAATGAAATCCTGTTGCATCACTGTAAATTAACTTTCAGGGACTTGAGAAAATATTTGTTATGCTGAATAATTTTTTAGATTTGTAGTTATTTTTTAGGGTGTCATACAAAAAGAAAAAAAGTCTTTTCAATGTCTCAGTATATTAACAATTGAATACGGCGAATAAACTCATTTTAAAATACTGTACCCTTCCTTTGTTAAGATTCGCATCAAAATTTGATTTATTGATTTATGTTGTTATTTTCTTAGATAGTGAAAATTTCCTGTGATATATATAATACATATACATCATAAAGTTAAGCTAGAGAATTCGACATATAGACATAGATTACTTTCGAATTACAGTACATCAGTACATTGAACCAAGAATTTCAGATTCAGATTCTTATAGTTTTGTTTTCCTTGGTCAGCATATCACATAATCCACTCTCAAAATCTTGAAAAATGGTTTAATATTTTTATTCATACATGATCGCGTATAAATCGAGAAAATGTATCAATAAAATAAGCTGGAACCCGGAGTTTTTTTTAGGTTGAGGAAATCATATCTGAATAATCCCCAAAAATTATTTTAAAAATATGTATAAAAAATATTTGCAAACCTCGTCTGGAACAGTCGACTGAGTTGAAGACGACGCAAACGGACATTAAAAAAACAGCGAAACATACTCTGATCAGCTTGTCAATGCTCATGTTGAAAATACTTTGTTAAAAAAGGAGTGATTTTTAATTTCTCGAAACACACACGATCAAATTTATTTTTTCTTTCGAATATCACCTTATATATATACTGATCCTGCTGCGAAGGGAAAATTATATACGTCACACATTACAAAAAAAAGAAAGTCAATACCAACACAAGTAAAAAACAAATCATGATGTTGACTCCGACTTTTAAAAACTGTCTGTCAAGATTCGAAAGAAAGAAAAACTGTACTTTATATATATATATAATTTATTGTGGAGACCTGCGCTTATGTTCGACACTCGACACTGACTGCTTTGACATTTGTCGACGAGAATGAAAAACTGTGTTGCTGTCGGCAAGTGAAGAACATCAAGGCTGAAAAAAAAATCAAGTGAAATCGAGGGGAAATTCGTGGTAAGGCTGTTGAACTTTTTATATATACAGTATTTTTTTCTTTTCACCATGGTCGAACGAAAGCTCGAACTTTTCTCTCTATACAATCGCATTATATTCGCGTCGACAACAAGACAGCAGGTGTTTTCATGGGGGAATTTTTTCTTCAGCTGAAAAATGAAATTAAAACCAAAGAAAAATGTTCATGATGGGATGTGTTCGATGAGGTAAGTATTTTTTCGGTTCAGATTTTCAATAATGAGCCATTATGAAAAAAATCATACAATTTGACACTGAATGCCAACAAAAAAATTTGCAGTCGAAAAATCTTCGTTGGTAATGAATACGGAAACTCATTTTCTGCTGAATGAATGAGAAAAGGGAGCTTTAATTCGAAAAAATTGTCTGACATTTCATTTAAAAATTATTCACAATACTTTTTGATTGGAAGGAATTTATTTCTCAGCCATTGAGTCGACTCAATTTCATACAAATCAGAATGTTTTCGTTATGTTTGAAATTTTTCCTCTGAGAGGTTAACTATTCTGGAAATTTAATCGTAAACAATTTGAGCCGTAAATTGCATCCTCGTCATTAATTCCATATACTGTATAAAACAATAAATTCTGTGACTTATTTATTAATAGAACATAATTCTATGATATTTTTAATCACGTCTATTTGATCTCTCCAGCTCAGTATTCCAACACGAAATATCGCATGAGTCGTACTTCGACTTTCAATTCCCGGAAAGAAAATCCCTTTGGCATTTGGAAATCACGCCTTTTGGCGATTAAATCACTCGTCCATCCAGTAAACAAGTTTCAGCAAATCTGCACACGAAATCCGCGTGCATTTTTGGCACGAAAGAGCTGGTGAAGACCGTGACGGCATTTTGGTGATCCACGCAGTCGCTCATTTGATGCAATCCGACCAGCGCAACATTGTCCTTATTGTCTCCCACGACGACTGGTGACCCGCGTTCATTCTGCGTTTAAAAAAAAGGAAGAAAGCAGACGGTTATTCTTTGTGTTTTGTTTCAGAAGAATGTTTAAACAAGAATTCGTCGTCAATTTATTCCTGTTTACAAGATTGCAGCACGGTGTTTTCGAGCTCCACGTGAAGCAGGACGCGAAGGAGGCGTCCTCTGGAGGATCGAGGAAAAAGAGCTTCTCGCTTCGACAGCCACGGACGAACAACCGACCTTCGTTCAACACCAAGTCTGGTCCATCTGCGATCGTTCGATAAACATTTTACACAATAAAATACGGAGATTCCGCAAATAGATAAAAACGAAGTATCTCTGGAGTTTGGCGTATTTCGGGCGCGTCTTATTGAAGTCAGACATGATAGATTTGTACGCAAATGGATTCTGTGAAACTTCTGTACGTACTCGCGATCAACCAAACATAAACTATTAGAGTAGACTATAAATAAATAAATGAATATGAGGCTATAAACGATTTTCACAGTTTTTCCGGAAGCGACGCGACAAAAAAAATTATAATCCTGGCAAAGACACGAAGAAACTTCGAATTTAAAACTATTCTTTTGGTGGACCAAATTTTGGCTGGTCCACAGAAAAATTTCTTCAACATCATAATGCGTATATTTATTAAAAGTACTGTACTGTACTGTAGTAATCAAGTCTGCCATTGCAATTGATCATTTTGGAAAGACAACAGCAGTTAAATTATCTGATGAAAAATAAAAGTTGGTTTTTCTCCTAATGGAACTTCAGACATGCTTTCACCTGCTGAAATATATTTTTTTACATTTTCAATCTGAGAAACCTTTCTTGAATAAGATCAGCTTTCCATTTTTTGAAAAGATATTCCACTATATAGCTGCTTATTCATGGGCTCTTGACTTATTTTTTGCAATAAAAGTTTGGTCCTGAGGACTGCACTGCAGGTATATTTCACGAATTTCTGCTGGTTTTCAAAACTTGTATGGAATCTGGTCTGCAGATTTTTTTTCAAATACAGTTGAACCTTGCTAAGTCAAACATCTTTAAGTAAAATACCTCCCTAAATCAAATTTTCTTTGAGTACCTCTCTGAATCCCTTTAGAAATAATGCATTAAAAACCTCCCTAACTCAAAGACTTTTACTCTAAAACCTCCATAAGTCAAATTTTTGAGGCCTTTAGGTTATTATCTTATTGGAAGAGGAAAGAAAAAAAATTTGAATTTAACTAGCTTTGACAGAATGTGAAAGACTAAATTACACATTGACCTCGTGCTTTAAATAAACTTTTACTGCTGCTTTGTCTTTAATATTGGGGATGGGTGGGTGTATGCAACATAAGTGTAGGATGTCCAGTTTTATTTTGTGGAGTGTGTTTTCTTTTATTTTTGTCATTTGTTTGTGCTTTGTTTCATGCTTTGAATTGATTGAATGTATTTGGGGGAGTTGGGTTGGGTGGGGAGGGGGTTTGGATGCGGGAGTTCTGGTTATCCCTTGTGAATGCTGAAAAGTGGCAAATAAAGTTTTCTGTTCATTCATTCATTCACTAATTAGGCATATGAACCCCTGTCTCAAAGTTGAGTGTCCTGTCAACTCATTTTAGAAACAATTTGAGGCCAAGAATATCATAATGAACAATTTATTACAATTCTTAAATGTTTCCCATAATAAAAAATACTTGATTTTATCATCTATAATTCTGTAAAACTCTAAACCTCTCTGATTCAAAAACCTCCCTAAGTCAAATTTATTTTCTGGTCCCTTGAAATTAAACTTACTGAATATGTTCAACTGTGCATGAAAAGATTTTTATTAAAATTTTCCAGTTGCCAATGGCAAAAAGAGGAAAAATGCCCCATTACTCAGTGAAAACTGGTTTTACCCTCACAGCTGCTCTCTATAAGCTCTGCTGGGTGACCTTTCATTCCTTGCTTTAAGGGGACATCAACTGTCTGGATCAAGTATGTTGAAATAGAGAAAACCAACAAGTTCAATGCTTTTTTTAATTTACACTTTTTTTAAAGATTGTTAATTAAGGTTATGTTTTTTTAGGCTTAATATATTTCCTAGTTTTCTGCAAATGTCTCTTAGATAATGCAATGTCATGGAAAGCACATGCAGAAATACATTTTCATGTCCCTGAAAAACAAGGGATGAAATTTGGAAGAAAATAAAAACCGGTTTGAGGAAAGGGCGCCACAATGAAGAAGGGATTATCACTGGAAAAGTCGATGCCTGAATCCCAAAAAGGTTCCAGATCACTGGAGTGTTTTGGAATTCGAACATTGTCCTCAAATATTTACCCAGCAATAAAGAATATAAATCTCCTTATGGTTGAAGAATTGTCAGATCTATATTTAAAGAAAACTCAGGAGTAAAATACTCAAGAGACGTCTACAGATGATTTTAACTCTTCGTACATCTAACTTAATAAAGTATGATATCAATTAACACTTACTCTTGCCAACAAAGTATTTCATGTAAACGATTTTCACGGTCCTGCCGGAAGCGACGCTTTTCCTTCCGGTCTCCACTGGAACCGGACGCACGGCAAAAGTCCGCACGACGTTTCGGTCCAGCGTGATGATGGCCAAGTTGCTGACCAAAACGTCGCTGGCGTTTTGAGTGTATAACGAAGACGAGGCCCTGCTGTAGCCCGGATGTCGAGTGATGGCCGAAAGCGGAAGTCGGAATTGCTGTCGGGAGGATTCGCCGAGTGACGATGACGACGACGACGACGACGAGAAGCAGCGCGTCGTGTCACCGAGCACAGGGATGATTTTCCGCAGTGTCAGGTCGAGGCTGGCGAGGATTTCCGGGTCTGTGCTGGCAGACGAGGTCAAAATATGCCTATATCACGGAACAAAAAGGACGAGGCATTATTGAGCAAATTTTGTATTTTGACTATCCAAAAATCTGCGATTGGTGTAATTTCAAGGTAAAAACTGTATATACAGTTGACCCTCTCGAAGTCAAACTTCAGCAAAAAAAATTTGACTTAGGGAGGTTTTCAACTTAGGGAGGTTTTGAATTTAGCTACAATACAAAGCCCTTTTGTGTTGGGAAACATAGAAAAATTGCTCAAAATCGTAAATAGTAATCTTCTGAGGCTGAAATTACTTCTTAAATGAGTTGAAAGCATCCTGAACCTGGAGGCAGGGTTCATTTGTCCAATTGAGTCTCTCACCTAATTTTAAAACAAATCAATTTATGTTTTATTGCATTTTTTCTTTCCTGTGTCAAGAAAATAAAAGCCAACTCAGGCCACGTAAATTTTGACTTATGGAGGTTTGAGGGAAAAAGCCTTTGACTTAGGGAGGTTTTAAATGCATTAGTTCTAAGGGGATTCAGACAGGACCTGAAAAAAATTTGACTTGAGGGGGTTTTTGACTTAGGGAGGTTCACCTGTATATAATATTGCTTCTTCTGATGATTTTGGGCAGGTCCAGTAGGTTCTCCTCATGTGGGAAGTTTGTTCAAGGCTTTCCACTGATGTGTGACTAATTCTTCTGTCCACACATACATTCAGATCATTTTGATCACAGGGCTGATTCACATGAGTGGAATAAGCACTGAAGATCATTATCTTCAAGGCTGGTTGTACTGTTTGTGGTTTTCTATTGAATTCTGTTTTTATTTATTTTTGTGTTTGTAAAGGGTTGAATCTAATACAACAACATTGTACAGTATTTTGTACGCCATGTTGTGTTGTTGTACATTACTCTGTTATACCTCTTCTGCTTGGGCAACATCTATATAGTCAGCCTGAGTTAAACAGCACATCAACAGGCGACATCTAGTTGACCCGTGACAGGAGTAACCAAGTTTCTTAACCCTTGGATGGCGGAGGGTTCTTTCCCATAGCAGGACGGAGTCAGATTATTTTTGTATCCTCTGGCATTTTCAGTTTTGGGAAGGTCACCAAAACCCTTCAAGGTGGGCTCAGGCAAAGTCAGGATTAATCCAAAAAAAGCCGGTAGCCTATGTTGCGGGTCGACTAGATGTTGCCTGCAGCGCAGGAACAGGAGAGGCACAGAAAGTACGACGCAGCGTAGGAAACGCCACGTTGTACATAAAAACAAATATCTTGAAAATTTCAAACAATTCAAGATAACAACAGAAATATCTTTTATTAAAAACATTATGAAACCTGAAGATATTGATCTTCAGGAAAAACATTCCACCCAGTGAATCATCACTTGATGAAAGGAATTATGAAGAATTTTACAAACAGAAAATTAGNCGTATCAGGCTGCGGTGTTGTCTTATGCTTCAAATGTGAACATGCAACAACCCAGCTCTCATTTTATCCGGAACAAGGAGAAAAAGACCCTATTGCCAACATTTAAACGTTTTTCCGGCAAACCAGACAGTGACTATACTTTTGACCAATTCTGGTCCCATTACAAACACATCCACGTCATTCCATCAAAATACATCACCCCAGTGGAGAGAATCAGCCTACTCCTCCTTTATTTGGAAGGAAAGGCTAAAAACCTTGTGGATTGAGAACCTGACCAGACGGAGGAAAAAGACTACCTGCGGATCATTCAAATTTTATTTGCCAAATATGGCAACATACAGACAACCCGTCAAAACATCTTCAAGATATTTGACAAACTTACGCCAACCGGGCATACAGCTGACGAAATGGCTAATTATATGGAGAAAGTCATTGATATAACCACACAGCTCCATAATCTACGTTCAAACATGCCCCAGGTACACGTCCGTCTTTGGCCAACAATCAAAATGAACCTCAAAAAGGGAGGACATTATATTTCCGTGAAAAATGAACTGAGTTTCATCAGACTACCAAACAGACTACCAAACAGAGTTGATAACCTGGCCGGAGAAGCCTGCAAATTGTTATAGATGGATTGAAACATTCTTGCGCCTGGAAGGAACGGGAGAGGAACAAAACGCTGTGGCGTTAACCTTCCTTGGAACTCAAACTTCAATATCCGAAAAGCGCGACGAACGGGACAAGACCAAAAGACGCAGATCCAACACTCCGGTAAAAACGTCATCTGACCAAAAACGCAGGAATACGAGATCTTTGAGCCCAACAAACTCTCGCAACCTTAAGAAAACCCATGCATCAGACCGGGACTGGAACAAAAATTCCAAACAAAACGAAAGTTCTAGAGGGCGAACACAACATTCAAGCAATGAGGAATTTGAAAAGGATGAACGCTCCCCGCGTCAATCCAATTTTTCATCGTCCTATCGTACAAATAAATTTTCCAATTTTCGAAACAATAATGGACGGAATACTTCATGGAGCAAGTGCCCATTTTGCAACAAGCCACATAGCGCTATCCGGTGCCCATTTGGCCTCAGTGACCGCTATTCTGCAGCCATGCAAAAGCGGCTATGCTTTAATTGCCTGAGCCCGAATCATTCAAGAGTCCAATGCACCAATCAATTTCTATGCAGAAATTGCAACAGCCAACACCACACTGCGCTTTGCCGTAATAGTACAAACAATGGATATTTCAAACAAGGAAATTCTTACAACCAGCAAGGACCATCATCATCATCATCAAATAATTGCTTCAACAATCAGCAAAATACCCGGTTCTACAACAATGACCAGAGCAACAGTGGAAATTACAACAACCGTCCAAACAACAACAATCGGTTAAACAATCGGATTACTAATAATCCCAACAACCGACAAAATGAGCAAAGACAAAATCCTAGCGTTATCCAAATGCTGACAGAAATTAAGGATCGCCTTCAACCTCAACAATTGGCAATTGCAGCCCCGGCAATGGTACCGGCTATTGCTGCAGCGCATTCTGCATGACTCGCAGGGGTACATT